CCATCGAATAATTGTATTGGCGATTGAAATGATGACGGCATTACGTAGGAAGTGCAGAGTCCATCCACTTGACGCCATTTTTGTATATCGCTTTAGTCAATAAACAATACCAATATCCTCATACTGAAAATAGTCGAACATTGATCGATACGAATATTCATTCAGACTCCGTAGACAAACTGGTACTTGCAGTGGCCTGACATACACACAGACATACATACGCCCGTATCAATTTATCTAAAGCGTCGGGGCCATTAGAAATATAAACAGGATGAAGACCATTTGCGAGTGTGCGCGCGCGCGTTAGTAGGTAGATAAATAATTTAATAATTCGCTTCTATTTTATAAACAGCCTTTTAACGTTGTATTCTGCTGAGAAATGAGGAATTTTCAGAGCGAGTCGCAGTGTTGCCAACGCTACAGTTTTAACTATAGATTTACAGTCTTTAGTCCACACAATAACTCGGTCTTGGTAAAATCTACCACTTACCAGATCGAATTATAAGTAAAATACGTATACGACCTTAAGTGATAATTAAAATTTTGTCATTTTTATGTCACTCAAAGTCAACCAGAATCAGAACCGCTGCGAAAAGAAATGTGTGCTATTCGTAAGGAATATACTACTTTTTACGAGTATCTATTGTGGTTTTGGTTGGCCTTGAGTGAATTTGGAAAAATTTGAATGGAAATTTTGTCATTGTTATGTCACAAGTCCAACAAGAACCACAACCGCCCAAAAAGAATTTTCTCAAGCAAAGCAAAACTGTCACTTTTTGACATTGGTCTGCGATAGATACTCTTGAAACAAATTGTAAATGGAAGGCTGTAAATTTACAGTTTTTTAAATGATATTCTACAGTTACCTACAGTTTTCTCTCGGATGAGGTTGGCAACACTGCATGAGATGAAGCTTGGCTTTAGTCGGTTAGATGGCTACGAGGTTACGAGTATCGTGCAAGATTTTCATCATAGTATGAGTATCTATGATTCATTACACAAAAGTCATAAGGCTAGTGTTATAAGTTTTATATCTTTAGTTGGAAATAATTAAGTATGCAAAAATGACGTTTTTTCGATGGATTTTTTGATTCAGTATTTTCCGCCTAGACGAAATTGCATCTTCTTCCCTCGCCAATTGGCAATTGTAATACCACATGTTTTGTTTCTTGAATATTACAAGATATGTATACTTTATCTGAAGTCACTTGAAACACTGTGAAATACCGGGTGCGTTTTATATATCTATATTTAACACGCTCTGTTGCTGCAAAAATCGCCAAATTTCGCAGCAAATATCCCCCGTATAAGATCAAAGGCAGTTTCACCGGTCCACGTGGAGTAAAGCACGCCTATGCGTGGACATAGCCAATGAGAAAGCGTGTATTTCAGAGCTCTGAACAAATGCAGGTGGCTACTGAAAATTGAAACAGTTTAGCCAGTGCCGTGTAGCGGTGAATAAACGTGTTTTCTTTAGTCTGTCTGTGTTTTTTCATAGATTTTATTAGTTTGTGTGTTTTTGACTTTTGAATACTCAGTTTACTTGTTGATTTAACTGTTGTGTTGATTGTTCTTGTGTGTCCTAAATATGGCTCTTTGGAGACCTTGGGAAAATGCTCCAAGCCACGAGGAGATGGTTGATGAACCTGTGCAGGCAGAATTCTTTCATAAAGATTTAGAGGAACAGACCCAAAGAGTAATCCTAAATATGTATGATTGTCTGAAAAACGAAAATCCAGATTCCTCGCAAAATCAAATTTTAAACAGAATTTGTATCCTGACAAAAATCAGTCGGTCTACCATTTATCGGGTTATAAAAAGGGGAGATGTAGTCAACCATTCCTTCCATAGAAAGCGCATAGGGCAAAAATTAAAAAGAATAGACGTGGGTTTTCAGGAAGATATTCGTCGTATAATATACGGATTTTACAAAGAAAATTTGGTGCCCACGTTGGAAATGATACGGAATAAATTAAAAGATTATCCTGAAGATTTTTATAATTACAAATGCTTAGACTCACTGCACTGTATTGTAAAACTGTGTGGTTTTCAATACAAAAAATTAGATAAATGAATGGTGATTATGGAGTCGTCTCGAATCGTTGAATTGTGCCAAGAATTTTTGCACAAAGTTAAAATCTATAGAGAGCAGAAAACAAAACTGATTTACCTGGATGAAACGTGGTATGATACCCATGATGTTGTGCAGTACGGCTGGGTTGACGACAGCAACAAGTGCATTTTAAATGCACCATGCAACCGTGGAAAACGAATCATTATTCTCCATGCTGGCAGTGAAAATGGATTTATACCTAATGCCTTGCTGTTATCTGCCAAAAATATCAAAGAATCATGTGCCGACTATCATGAGGACATGACCTCCGACTTATTTGAAAAGTGGATAGAGCAGCAGTTAATACCAAACATTTCCTCAAATTCAGTGATTATTATGGACCATTCCCGACAGAAAAACAAAATTCCGAATAAAGGCACAAAAAACAAGACATTATTGATTTTATGAAGGATAAGGGAATGGAAATACCACAAAAAACAACCAAAGCCATATTATTGGATCTTATTAAAAGACAAAAATTTGAAAAAGAGTATGTTGTTGACAATCTGCTTCAGCAAAATGGCCATGAAGTATTACGTCTACCTCCCTATTACTGCATTTTTAACCCGATTGAGTTGGTCTGGGCTGCTTTAAAAAAAAAGTAAGAAAACATAATCAGACCCCTCAATTAAGTGAATCGCTATTGGCCACAATAAGAGATGCAGTATCTCATATTGCTGCCACAGACCTATGGAAGCAGTGTTCTAGGCATATTATTGAAAAAGAAAATGAATATTGTGTTTTGCCTCCTGTAAATCCCGTTGTAATTCCTCTACAAGATGACTCTAGCGACAGCTCCGAAGGCGAGGATGATATATAAATACCTATAATGTAAGTCTTTATATACCTTTTTATATACCTTCCTGCTATGTAAATATTTGCCTATGTCAAACGTTGGAATTGTGTAATTTTTCCATTTCTTAACATTCAGTCAACATAAATTAAACTCCCAATATAAGTATTTTTTATCCCAAATCAAAAAAATAAGAAGATAGTAAAATCCATTTATTGTGATATAAAAACATTATTATTATCGTTCTAAATGAATAACCGCACGCCTATGATACGTCATGAAATTACAAACGACGCGCCGACCAAAGGTTTTTATGCTATTTCAAGTGACTTCAGATAAACCATACAGGGCGTCCCGCTTTAAAGTGATCCTCCGATTTTTTTCGTATGACCGTTTAGAAATAAATGTTACACAGGGTGTTTGGTACATGAACAAACATTTTTGGGCCGCTATTTGATGATTTTCGATGGAAACCGCAATGCTCTAAGGGCTACGGCTACCGACATACAATCGTTTGAATCATCTTCAATTGCGCATAAATATCGTTATAACTTTTTTGATAATGACACAAAATGATAAGTATCATATCGCTAGAGAGGCAATAAATCACAGAAGTATTATAAGTAAAACTAGGTTACAAAAAAGGTATAGTTTTTCATAATCGAACTTCGAATTTGAAATTATTTATACACTCCATGTGATTCTACGACTTTTGAAGATCATCAGTCGTTTGTTTGAGAAGATTTGCACGACATGTTTATCTGATCTGATTGAGTACACATTAAAGAACATACTCACGTCTATTTTGTGTATTATCCCTAGAAACAAAAAAGTTATAACGATATTTATGCGCAATTGTAGGTAATTCAGCAAAAAAAAAACGAAAAACGATCATATCTCAGTAACCGTAGCCCTTAAAGCATTCCGGTTTCGATCAAAAATCATCACATAGCGTCCCCAATCGCCCAAAACATGTTGTTTCATGTACCAAACACCCTGTATAGTTTTAAGTATACTTTTTTTATATACCTACTTAGAAAAGTGACCTAGAATAAAGTTGTATTTTTTCAAATGGAACACCATGTATAATTTTTGTGAAAAAGATAGCAGTTTTTTTTTCTTATTGCAAATATATTAGGTTTAACGTACTCATTTTCATTGGTATGGTCAAAAACTTAAGTTTTGTGGGTCATTAATTTAATTCAGGTATATACGAGTTTAGACCAGTTTGCATCTAAACCCTATTTCACGCGTATCCATTACGTTTTGACGACGACTGAGGTGAACAGCTGATAAGCAAGTGGCATATTTATAATTAGTCTGTAACGTTGGCAATAATGAATGTAAATTTGATTAAATACAGGATCGTATTCAGAGCTGCTGTTCACGTATCTAGATACTTTTAGTGTCTGGGAACTTTGATAATAAAATGTACGAAGTATACATAGAAACACGGTTATTAGAAAATTATTATAGTACATCTGGGATTAAGGTACGTCAATAGAACAGACAGTACTGTACTTTCCAGTAGCTGTAATTTTACTACTAAAAATAATATAGACACGTGTTTCCTTGCCCTTTAAAATCATGTGGAGTTTCAAGCTCTAAAAAATAGAAACGATTTACAAAGTCAAAAACTGTTTATTGAATTGAAATGTAGCCATGATCACTTTTTGAAATAAAAAAGTTGTTAGAGTTGTTAGCAAGCAAAAAATTAATCCTCAGCGTACAAAAAAAACATCACAATACGGCTCTGTCTACTTGGCGTTGACGGAACCCTCACAATTGTGAGTCAGTGGTCGATAGGCATTGAAATTACTACTGCATCCAACAACGCTTTTTTCGATTTTTTCTAGTAATCCACTCAACCTTTTCGATAACACAGAACTAAAACCTGAAATCAAAACTGCACAACTCCCAACCAGCAGTTCCTCCATGGCCGGATTCAAGAAACGAACTGAATCGTGATCGTGTGAACAGCCGCTGGTTGACTCCCCACTCGTCTTCGTGCCCCTGAGAACGTAGCTTCAAATGCGTATGTACCGCCGAAGTTTATAATAAAAAAGTCCAGTTTATTGTGTCTTTGTGACTCACCTGACACGTAGTGCAGCAACAGGGCACAGATAGGGTAGATGGTAGGGCTGTAGACGATATCCGGACACGCGTATCCGAGTACGGACACCACCCTGTCGGTGATGCTGCGTCCCTTATGTGTCATGTAGTACGATTGACAGTGCGAAGGTTCGACGAATGGAGGCAAGCTGATCGATTTGTCTGGGAGGTCCGTGGTACCGAACACCTGGAACCAAGATGTGTTTTCAGAGATGGAGTAACAATAGATAAATATTTCTGCTCACTATACCATATCATACCGGGATCGTTTCCAGCTACTATGCACCTTGTATGTAACGTGTCAGTTAAGTTAGCGTTGGTTGTCAGAGCGGTCCGAGGGATCTTAGCTCTTCATGAGATACCGCAAAGCGCCATCTATCGCACCAAAATCGATCGCGCACCGCTGCTATTAGTTGGAACTGTCAAAGATCTCAGTTCGAGTTAATAGCCGTGCCGCCAGATGGCTGATGATTCTGGCTGAGAGTAGAAGTGTTCTACTTAACCGTCAGAAAGAACGCATGTTTTTTAAATGAGTAGTACAGTCAAAATAAGTATGGGAAAAATATTTTATTATATCAAAATACTCAGAAATACATGCCATTTTTTGAGTAAATCAAAATTTACGATCTGAAAACTATGTCGGCCATATGGCGTCCTTGAGCTGAAATGCAGGAATCAAGCCAAAATGAGCGTCGGCCAAATCGCCATGCCGTGAAATGAGACGTCTCGGAAATTTTTGTCGAAGAAGTTCCATCGGAGTGCGAGCTGTGTGAGATATTGTTGGAACCACACTGTTCTGAGACGGACACGGACGTCCAGAAAAAAAAAGTTGTTCAATATGTGGATGTAACGCTCTGAATTTACAGTAGTTGTTTCTCCATCATCCTAAAAAAAATAAGGTCCAATAATCATCGTTGGGCCTACTGCACACCCAACTGTAACTTTCGGGGTATGCAGGTGGTGTTCATGCAACTGTTGGGGGTTTACTGGAGACCAATATCAGCAATTTTGTTTGTTGACGTATCCATGTAAATGAAAATGTGCTTCATTACTCATAAACAAGGTCATGTCATTGTTATCCAACTGTTCAATCATGAACTGTGCACAATTAACACGTGCATAATCCCCTGGCAACAGTTGTTGACAGACTTGGATTTTGTAAGGATGGAACACCCTTCTTCAAGATGCGACGTACAGAGGACGCGTGGATCCCTAGGGAACTGGCACGCAAACGAGCTTTGCAGCGTGTCAACTCTCACTCTGTCTACGTTTTCCTGTTGTGTTGAATGCTTCCACCCATCTCAAAATGGTGTTACGGTCTGGTACGGTCCCACGACGTGGAACACGAAAGTGTACGCGAAATTCACGTTGCGTTTGAACGACGGACTCGCCATTTTGAAAGTACCGACGTACAGTGAACACACGATGCTCAACGTTCCAAACCGTCTTGCCAACTGAAACGGCACTTCTCCCACTATCCAACACGCCCTTCCCCACCGACACGGGACCAGCCCACTCGATGTAGTATCCATTCGAAAAAAAATGCGTTCTTTCTGACGGGCCCAGAAATCAGATAACTTTAAGGAAAAAAATGAAAGGCAGGGAGAGTAGGTAGGAAGAGAGCAAAGAGGAAGAAGATAATATTTTAGGACAGAGAGCGACTAGGCATTGTTAAAGTCACTTGATAGATTTTGATTCGGTCTAAAAATATTCGATTTTGTCAAAGTACTCCAATTTTAGTAATTCTAAATTCACGAATTAAGTTTGATTACAGTGCCAGTCCCGGCCTTTTGTGCTTACGAACTTGCTCGACTGTGTCGTCCACCGAGGGTTACTGTGCGATACTTAGCTTAGGTTGCAGTATCAAGATTTTCAAGATCTGCTCTTTAAACATATTTGGAATGATGAATAATCATAAAATATAAAAGTTTCCTCTTGCCGATGTCTAATCTAATCTAATGAAAAACATTCCAGAATTATTCTTATTATTTATTTACATATTTTCTAGAAATAATATCACGTTTCCACTATCCATAGCTAGACTATTCCATTAAAGTATATGGAAAGCCCCTTATCAAGGACCCGGCATACATTTGATTCGCTATGATGATTTGGAAACTGCCATGATAATTTGAATACAGAAAATCAGGTGACATGATTATGATGGTAAGGTGACATCAAAATTAATTTCAATGGGATAAACTTTTTGTCTATCCCAATGGACCCTTTCTTCTTCATACAAAGTTCACAACGAATGTTACGTTCGTCTTCACCGCTTACCTGATTGACCATGTCCCAGTAGAAGTTGTCCATGGTGTCCGTTTTTCCACCGCCGTTGCCATGGTGTTGCATGCAAAGCATCGGCCACAGTTGCCTGCGGATCGGATGATTGGCAGGCCATGCGTTTGTCCGCAGCAACTGTTTCACTTCCTGCTTGCGACCCTGAACTATCAACGGACGCACCTGCAACAAATTCGAGTATCCAGGAATCTAAGTTGCGCACAAATAAATGAAGCGTGGTCATTGGAAGCGACAACATCCCAAAATAAGTTGATAAATTTCAGAAAAAAATGAGTAGCAGCAAAAACAAAAAGTAAAAATGGGAAATATGACTCTGTGGACACCCTACTAGCTGATCATTATAAAGGAAGCAGTAGTGTAAATTTAACATAACATCACCTTTCGCAAGGTTGCTAGCTGTCGCATACGAGGGATGTCTTTTAAGTTTTGCATATAGAAACATAGTAGGCCGCGCGGATCGAACGTCAGTACTGAATCTTAACCTCACTCTTTAGTAAACTAAGTTTCACAACTATACGTGCAGTGTTCTCACTACAGTGAATTTTTAAGTGTCACCAAGTCATTAGAAAAATGGAACTCAACCCAGAACATTTTCGCGCCATAATTTATTACAACTTTCAGTGAGTCTTAGCGACGATCCCAGGGTGGGTGCACCAAAAACGGCAGTCACCCAGGAAAACGTCGATGCTGTGCGCAAACTCATCATTGAAGATAGACATGTGACATATCGCGAGATTGAGGCGACCTTGAAGATCTCAAAGACCTCAATTCAAAAAAAATTTCGTGAAGAATTAGGAGTAAGAGAATTAGTTTCTCGTTGGATACCCCACCTGTTGACTGAAGAGCAGAAAGCAGCCAGGGTTAATTGGTGTCAAAAAACGCTTGACCGTTTCAATCCGGAAACTCAAAAAATGTGTACAGCATTGTTAGAGGTGACAAATCGTGGATTTACTGTTATGAACCAGAAAATAAACGACAGCCGGCTGTTTGGGTGTTCCAAGGTGAAGAAAAGCCAACAACAGTCATCCGTTCTCGAAGTGTTTCGAAAAAGATGGTCGCGACATTTGTGTCAAAAGCAAAAATTCCTCTTAATGAACAAAGAACTGTTACTGCAGATTGGTATACCACCATTTGTTTGCCAAGTCATCACCGAGCATCGAAAAATCAACCCCGAAAGAAGAATCATCCTCCACCAAGGTAATGCAAGCTCGCACACAGCCCAAAAAACAAGGCAGTATTTAACGGAAGAAAACGTGGAATTATTGGACCATCCTCCATATAGTCCCGATCTAAGTCCTAACGATTTCTTTACTTTCCCGAAAATTAAAAACAGACTGCGTGGTCAAAGGTTCCAGTCACCAGAAGAAGCAGTTGACGCATTCAAAAATGCCGTTTTGGATCTGCCAGCAAACGAGTGGAATAAGTGCTTCGAAAATTGGTTCAAAAACAATAGTCATTTAAAACTACCTACCATGTTGTTTTATTTCCATATGCAAAACTTAAAAAACATCCCTCGTAATAAGGGTGTTGGATGAAAGGACCTTTTGAATATTATCAGCACGGTGTCGTCATTTCAAATCCAATAAGACTCAAAATGCAAATGAAATAGCTATACCATGAATGACTCGGCTAGGTGAGGCGTTATCAGCATTGATCTGCAACCTGTCCAGCAGAAGGAAAACTTCAAAATCAAATCTGAAGTAAGTTTCCTTAGATGTAATAACGTGTCCAACTTGAAATAACTGAAATTCACACATTTAGAGCTAAGAGGAGGCCGTTTAAAATTGGTTATTTGACATAAATATTTAAAAGTGAAAAATAAAAAGGTGAAAAATATATTTATAAAAGCAGGCTTCTATTTCGCTACTTAATCGAACTGAAAATTGATTTATTTTCAGATTTTAAATATGCCGTCTTATATATGTTTTCATTCTTGATATCAAAACGTAACTCACTTTATTTGAAAACTTGAGGCGCTTCAATATTGTTTAATGATTAAGAAGTAGAAAACGGCATATTCGATTTCACCTCGTAAAAAGCGTGTTGATTTTTCAAATAGAAAAAAAAGTCATAGATGACGCACCCTGTATAAGAGCTCCATTGAAGTTTGAACAGGGAATAATCCTAGAATCGTTCTGGACTATCAGCAACCAATCACGATGCGGCATGAAACCATGAGTCTTCTGGGATAGTTCATTATAGAACCCGAATAAAGCTAATGCGGATGGCTGACCACAGAACCGCAGTTATCTTTACAACTCTCATAACCCGTTTCTTCGGTATTCATACAGCTTGTTTCCGCAAAAAGTCGCATGAAACTTGTTTCGCCAGTATATCACGAGCCTTAACTTAAATCACGACTTACCTCATTGATGTTCTTGAGCGGTTTCGCGGCAGGACTGGGCGGCACGATCTGTATTCCCGCGGGATCCACCAACGGCGTAAACGCGGGATGTAACGCGTCCGGACCGTCCGCAGCAGTGCCGCATCCGCTGCTGCCGTTGTTTATCTCCTCGAGCACTGACGGCATCGCGAACTCGCGTGTGACCACGGCCTTAACTAGCGTGTGACCACGGCTTTAGCGCGTATTTTTTTTTTTTGCGGGTTTAACGCGCTTGTAAGGTGGGCTTTAGGTAGTTGGCGGCGCGTGTAGACGGGATGGTGGACGGTCAGTCGGTGTGCGCCCCTCTTAAGCGGGGAGCCGGGGACTGACCGGTCTATGTAAGGTCCTGCGCCATCGTGGAGTCACCACCTGGAACAAAAAGAGAAACGGTTACTCTATAGTAATATTGAAGAAAAATACCAAGGAAAATACCTTCAGAGAAACGTTTTCAATTTCTTTGACTGGCTGATAACACTGGTGAACAAAATTGAAATAATAATTTTTTGTGACATGGACAAAACAAGGTGGTTATTATGTAAAACGTACCCAGAAAACCGGAAATAGCATTAGATTTTTTTTATCACCCACGGTTTTCTTGCTGATTATACACGTAAAATACAGGGTGGCGTATCGAAAACGAAACAGACGCATTTACTGACAGCTCAGTTTTTTTGGAAAAACGCTCAGACCCGTCGAGTTTGTTTTCGAGGGGGACACAAGTTTGGCAAAAATCACGTTAACACGTGCAGCCCCCGGGGTGACACCAACCCTAAATCTTAAATGAAAAGGGGGGTCGAGTGATACCTGATTTTAAAGGTCTTTCAATTCCCTTTATAATGATGTAAAATTCATGAGGTTCAGTAGTTTGGAAGATTTATTGATTTAAAGCTTGAAGTAGAGTTTAATAGGTACATCAGATTAGTTTGTACTACTTTCAGAAGAAATTTGACTACAAGAATCTACTTAATAAGTAAATGCTTTTCTTCACTACCGCCCATGGTTTGTTTATCATTTTGTTGTTGAAAATAGCTATTGGAGCGTTTTTTTTGTGGCAAAAAAGTTATTTCTTGAAGAAAGATAAGGAAATATCTCGTACTTATTTTAAATAGGAATTTAGTACATAGTTTGCGATTGGTTTGACCAAACTTTGTTGCTAAAATAACTTGTAACGCTTTATTACATAAGTTAACCACGGTATGCTCCACAGCAGAAAGAGTTGAAATTATCGAAATATTTAGTGCGCTAATAGAACAGCAGAAATACTTAGTCAACGACATGAGAACAGTAACATGCATCGAAAATATGTTCTAGAACTTGTAGCTAAATTTCGGGAAACTGGGTCAGTCGCCAATAAAAAACGCAACATTGAAAATCCCATAACCAACGAAGCAATAGAAATGGGGATTTTAGGGCAAGTTTATGTAGATCCTACGTTAAGTACCCGCAAATTGGAGACTGTGTGTGGTGATAGTCGACGTACTGTCCAATGGATTCTAAAGGCCCATAGTTTCCATCCGTATAAAATTCACCTGGTACAAGAACTTAATGAAGACGATTCTGATAGGCGATTACAATTTTGTGAAGATATGAGTGAACGAATTATAAACGATGAACATTTTCTATTTAACACTTGCTTTTCCGACGAATGTTCCTTTTTCTTAAATGGCGTAGTAAATCGTCATAACTGTCGATATTGGTCCGATTCTAATCCCAGAATTTATCATGAGGTTCATACACAGCAGCCACAAAAATTAAATGTTTGGGCTAGTATTTTTGGCAATCATTTAGTTGGCCCTTTTTATTACCTGGAAATTTGACCGGTGAAATGTATTTGGAATTACTGGAAGACGCCATAGATCCTGCATTAACAGCCATAATTGAAAATCAGAATGATCGGCAGTACATTCCGAATAGTTTGATGTTCCAACAGGATGGTGCCCCACCACATTACGCATTACGTGTAGATCAGACGTTTCCAGATCGATGGATTGGTAGAAGAGGTGCCATTGAATGGTCCCCAAAATCGACAGATTTATCACCTTTGGATTTCTTTATGTGGGGTCATTTAAAAAGCAAAATCTATGCTACTCAGCCAACATCATTAGAAGACCTGCGACCAAGAATTGTGAATGAGTGCCTTCAAATTACTCCTCAAATATTGCAAAATGTACGGCAAGGTTTTGAGCAAAATCTTTATAATAGCATGGAGAGTCATGGTGGCCATTTTCAACATTTACTTGCCTAACGGGTCAGTTCATTCTTCATTTTTAAATTACTTTGCTGCCAAATGTATTGATCTCCACTAATGATGATGTATTAGTTTTATTTAAGCTTTAAATCAATAAATCTTCAAACTACTGACTGAGTACATTAATTTTATATCATTATAAAGGGAATTGAAAGACCTTAAAATAAGGTATCACTCGACCCCCCTTTCCATTTAAGATTTTGGGGGTGGTGTCACCCCCTTTTAGGGGGCTGCACGTGCTAACGTGATTTTTTGCCAAACTTGTGTCCCCCTCGAAAACAAGATCGACGTCTGAGCGTTTTTTAAAAAAAACTGAGCTGCCAGTAAATGCGACTGTTTCGTTTTCGATGCGCCACCCTGTATAAGGATATGTGTGTAAGAGTACTAGTAAACACTCGAATAAACATTAATCTCAGAATGTTGTTGTCGATGTTTAACGGCGATATGTATCTCCTTAAGTATCTCTTAACAATGTCTAGCAATAATCATCAAGCAAACTGACACTCCATTTGCCTTAATACCGTTTTCCATAGCAGAAATGTATTGGTGGAACGGTTGACCATGTTCATCACTTTCCGGAAAAAAATCGAGATGAGAATCCGAAAAGTGCATTTTTAGAGACATGTTACATCCCATCCCTTTATAAGCATTAATTACTTCACTCACAATATCTTTATAATTGTCCGCCTTCACATTGCCTAAAAAATTTACAGTAACTTAAAAGCATTCCAAGCTCTTTAATTCAGTTTGATTTAGAGCACTGTCAAATACATCATCCTTCATGATTTCCGTAGGTATTTGTGAACCCACAAATATGCCCTCTTTAACTTTTGCCTCACTAAGGGCCGTATCGTCAGTTGTTCCTACAATTGTAGGATGCCTTTTATGGCCTCCATTTTACGATTGTCGCCTACTTAACCAACCTGTTAACAGCATTACACAAGTCTTACAACATATACGAGGCGCCCATAGTTTATCTTAGTCGCCAACTTGAAGTTCGTATGCTTTCAACAAAAGGGGAGTAAAAGTACATTTTGGAGATTTTAAAGTTAGCTCTCCGCACACATAACAAAAACTGTTCGCATTATTTATACAATTTCTAGACATTGTTGATAAAGTTAGTCTCGATCGCAATAAACTAAAAACAACACACCGTTTTAAAAAAAATTAACAGTACTCAGAACATATCAGTACTCTTCAACACAGAAAACGTAACTGAACTGGCTGCTACTAGTGTACTAATACACGCAATATGCTCTCTAAACATAGGGCTCGTATATAATAAACAGGAATAGACAGGTTTTAACATTATGTATGTGCGTCATCGCATAAACGCAGGAATGTGAGATGTCACGTATTGTAATTCATAAAAGTAGATGTTACTGAATATCTGTGGGTGATAGAAAGATTCTGTTTTTAGATTTGATTCAATGGTCTCAAAATACATAAGATACGCCCAAAAATTGTCATGACACAAATCCTGTGTTTATCAGTGTAATTTTTGGACCACTTAGTTCATAACTATTTAATTGACGCGAAAATGTGTTTTTCAGACTATTTTTTATAAAAAATGGCGTCAACTAGATTGATACAACGCAACGTCGCCCTCAGTTCATGAATTATTATGTTCAGCACAAGCTAGAAAAAGTCAGTCAAAGAGTTAGATCATAGACGTTCATTCCCTGCCCTACCGGTAAATCTGGCAACGTCGCCGCGCCCCGATACCCAATCCGGTCACCAGTCAAACGCTCCAGTCGCGGTTCGCGGTAGTAATACCAGAACATCTACCAAGACCGGAACGTCGCGTCGCCGCTAGCAGGAGCAGACGCGGCTGATAGGTTCGCGATCCGTCTGCTGAGAATATTTTTCCAAGATTTCCGCACGTCAAAAAAGTTTGAACGTTTTTTCCTTTTTTGCCTTTGCCGCCACCAATTTTCAAAAACATATATCATTTTCGAAATTTTTCTCGATTACATCCTCGCCAGTATTTTTTTATAATGTGCCTTATCATATACCCTCAAGAATATAATTATGCTGTAAAACATCATATTATGAGTTACGAGTATTTTTATCTCTCAAATTCTAGATATACTGATCTATAAGTGGTGTCAGTGAGCAGTTCAATGCTACCAGAGCCAACTCGTAACGTTCTCCTGTACGGAATCCGTCGGTAACAGCTAGCTGAACAAACTATATTATGAATTGTCGCCAAATATCAGTTTGCTTTTTTCCGCAAACTACATGTTAAACCAATAAAGTGCCACGCTGCTGTCATCATCTCACTATTATCACCTACTTTGAAACTATCCTGCATAATATGATATGTGGCTTCGAACATCAACACAATCTCGACGTATATATCTCATCCTAGATCGCAGCGAATACAAGTAGCTACAACTGTCACATCCATATACATATTTCAAATTGATTCTAATGAGATAATAATCATCATCAAGAGAGTACAGTGTGCACGTAGGTTTATGAATGTATATAAATTACACTCGTAGACGATCTTAGTGGGCGTGCCGTCGCGCCATTGTCGACAGACTTGCATAGGCAATGCGATTATTGCGATTATATTTCTCAACGGCCAACGCTGATTTGTGATTTGCTCTCTCAGCAGGAGTCAAGTTCATGGTATCGACAGGTGATTCAAACCGTGAATAATGGTTTCATTCAGAGCCATTGGAGGTCGTTATACACGTACGTCAAACAAGCAAGTTACCTGAAGATTCATTATTGTATGTTTGAGATTGAACATTTTAGAAAGAATCGTTAATGTCTCAATAAATAAAATTCTCTCCTCGCATAACCGATGGTATAAAAGAATACCTAGATAAATAACTCCTTAGTTCCCCTCGCAGAAGATCAAACTGATAAAAACCCTCGATACCGCTACAGGTATCTTTATAGAGATATAATGACGTTCTCCAGCGCGTTCCAACGCCCTTCGCTCAGGAGATATTTTTCTCTATCGGTATGGGAAAATATGCTGTGGGATCCCGCAGCAGGAGGCGTTAGTGTAAGACATTATTCATATTGAAAAAGCAGGAGCATGATGCGTCTCTCGGTGCCAGATCCAACATTGCCTTTAATACTCAAAGAAAAACTTGTATCTCTCGGCATCGGAAAGCATGCTGTGGGATCTCGTGATAGCATGAGTACGTATTGCGATATACCCAGCATATCGACGTATGCTCTACGATACCTTGGAACAATTTTTCTCTCTCTCGGCATTATAAAGCATGCTGAACCAATGAACCATCCTGTTGGGAGAAACGTCGGCATGCCGCTGACATAAGCGAAAAGTTCTACCCTTCTCCCTCTTTCACTCACTTTCACGCTATGTGATCCGGTTGCAAGAAACGTCGGCATATCGTTCGGTTCTGCAAACATCTATAGCAGTGTTCCTCAAAGTGGGCGATAATGCCCCCTTGTGGGCGCTGGGGACCCACGGGAGACGGTAAAGAAATTAAAGGAAATTGTGGGGCCGACGCAATGGATAATTTTTGACCTTCGCTCCGTAACTGTCATAGCACCGATGTAGCAGATGATGACCAAGCTAAAATGTTAGTCCACCCCAAAATGGACATCTAGAACAATTTCGGAGAGACTAGAGAATAATTGATTCTCAAAGTGGGCAGTATACTGCATGCCCTTGGATACCCAGAAAGATTTTCGGTCTCGCTCGGTTCCGGTGATATCCATAATCTAGCAGCCGAGAAATGTGGCATACCGAAGTTTGCCGTCGTCCGATCCCACTGCATGCCCTTCGATACCTAGAAAGAATTTTTGTCCCTCGGCATCGCAAAGTATGCTGTGCGATCCCGCTGGAGGAAACGTCGGCATACCGCGTGGTATACCAACATTTGCAATCGCAAGATCCCACAGCATGCCATTCAATAGCTATGATGAATTCCAGTCTCTCGGCATCGAAAATGATGCTGTGCGATCCAGTTGCAGGAAACGTCGGCAGACCGCTCGGTTCCGGCAACATCTATTATCTGGCAGTCGAGGTATGTCGTGGTATACCAACGTTTGTAGTCGCGGGATCCCACTACACGCCCATCGATACCTAGAAAGAATTCCTGTCTCTCGATATCAAAAAGCATGCTGTGCGATCCCGTTGGAGGAAACGTCGGCATACCGCGTGGTATACCAACGTTTGCAGTCGCGGGATCCCAATGAATGCCATTCGATAGCTATGAAGAATGCCACTCCCTCGGCAACGAAAAGCATGCTGTGCGATCCAATTGCAGGCAACCGCATACCGCCCGCATCTATAATATGGCAGCCGAGAAATGACGTGGCATGCCGACGTTTGCCACCGCGGCATCTGACTGCATGTCCTACGATACCTAGAAATAATTTCTGTTTCTTAGCATCGAAAAGCATGCTGAGGATTCCGTTAGAGGAATGTGGCATACCAACGTTTGCAGTCGCGGGATCTCACGGCATGCCCGCCGATACCTAGAAATAATTCCTGTCTCTAGGGATCGAAAAGCATGCTGAGACATTCCGGTAGAGGAAACGTCGTCATACCGCCAGGTTTCGGCTATATATCTATAATCTTGCAGCCGAGAAATGTGGCATACCAACATTTGCAGTTGCGCCGATACCTAGAAAGATTTTGGTCTCTCGGCATCAAAAAGCATGCCGTGCGATTCCGTTGGAGGAAACGTCGGCATACCGCGTGGTGGCGTGGTATACCAACGTTTGCAGTCGCGGGATTCCACTGCACGCCATTCGATAGCTATGAAGAATTCCCGTCTTTCGGCATCGAAAAACATGCTGTGCGATCCCGCCCAGGGGCTTGATTCTAAATGAATTTCGAACGTTGAAATTGATTTCGATTGCGCCTTGTGACGATATACTTGATTATGTTAATTTTGACACTGCCATAATAATTTGAATATAGAAGATCAATATAATCATAGCGAATCAAGTATATCGTCACAAAGCACCAAAGAAATCAATTTCAACGGTCGAAACTCATTTAAAGTCAAGCCCCAGATGTGGCAATATCTATAATCTGGTAGTCGAGAAATGACGTGGCATACCGACCTTTGCCGCAGCGGCATTTCACTCTCTACGATACCTAGAAAGAATTTATGTCTCTTCGCATCGAAAAGCATCCTGAGAGATTCCGTTAGACGAAACGTCAGCATACCGCTCGATTCCGGCGATATATCTATGATCTGGCAGTCGAGAAATGTGGCATACCGACGTTTGTCGCAACGGGTCGAACTGCGCTCGGATTCGGCAGCCGCGGTATGCCGTGGTATACTAACGTTTGCAGTCGCGGGATCCCACTGCATACCGAGAAAGAATTCCTGTCTCTCGGCATCGAGAAGCGTGCTGTGCGATCCCATTGCAGGAAACGTCGGGATACCGTCCGGATCCATCAAAATCTATAATGTGGCAGCCGAGAAATGACGTAGCATACCGACATTTACGTTCGCGGGATCCCGCAGCATGTCCTTCTATGCCTTGGAAAAAATTCTATATGAAGAGAGCAACTTCGGTTTGCCACAGGCGTATCGACTGGACACTGTGCAACATAAGATTGAGAGACACCTGCTTATGCAGAGGTTGTGAACTGTCCAGCTGACCTATCAAAGCGAGAATCTATTCAGGGGGAAGGTGGCTGGGTCGCATCACCACATTTTTCAACAGTCTGGGGTGCCCAGTGGGGCCCAAATGTTGTGATCTTGACTTATCTCCTTTCCTCATACACTGAATATGTAATACCTATGAAAAATTTCTACTTTTCGGCAAGGAAAGGCATGCTGTACGAACCCGTTGCGCGAAAGGGCATACCGCAAGCTTCCGACAATATCCAAAGGCTGGCCGCCGAAGATTGTCGCAACATGTGCTTGTGGAATCCCGTAGTTATGGCACACTGTGTCTATAGCCGTTCAGCCTAGAGACGTCGAGGCATACCGACGTTTTCCGCCAATGACGTGCAAAAAAATGCCTTTTGGTGCCCTCGGAGCAATGTTTCTCTCTCGGCATCGAAGACTATCCTGTGGGGTTCCATGGCCGAGGCGTCAGATAGCATGATGTGGGATCCTGTGGCGGTAGCTTTAATACTGTCATAAGCTGGATGCTCACGGTATCGTAAATAATTTTCCTCATACTTTCCTCTCATTATCGTGCTCTTTTATCTGTGCCTCTTATGCACATATAAGTATATAATGACAATACAAAATTACGTAATATTTAGATCATTTAAAAATATAATGCTGTTGTTAATGGATCATATTTACGATTTTTTGTGTAACTTTTATGGCTTTATTATGGAAAAAAATGGAATTAGATCCAGTAAACAGTTTCAAGCTTATCTGCAAGCACTAATTTTAGATTCCAGCTATTTTCAAACAACTCTTATATTTTGGATAAGAAATCTAAACTGTCATGTTCTGTGTCAGAAAAAATGTATTATTGCAATAATTTCACTTTGTGTTTGTTGAAAATTAAGCAACCTATTATTGTGCAATGTATTTGAGATATTTGGTGTGAGCTTGTGAATACTGCAGATATTGAGTATACTATGCTAGATTGGAGGATGTTCAACAAGATATTGATTATAAAGGTGTACACCATGCAACTTCTTGAGTATAGTGAGATGTAATATTGAACTATATCGATTCTAATGTACACTGGGTATAAGGGTATGTTGTGTAGGTTGAATATATTAAGTTTATAGGATGCATTAAAGTATATAGGGTACATTTAGGATACTGGTTGCCTTGAATATTTATATTGATGAAGGATGTTGGGTATATTACATATATATTGGAAATATTGAGTATGTTAGAAATATTGAATATCTTGGGTATATTGCTTATAATGGGTAGGTATGCTGAGTATAGTAGAAGTATTGAGTTTAATGTTCTAAGTACTTATTTTATGTTGATGCTAAGAAATCTTTTGTAGGAAAATAATAATATAATCTTACATATGGATTGGTGCAGGAGTTATGATCATGAGGCCAATGATTGGTACATCGTAAGACTTACGTATTTTTTAATTTGTTGACATGGTTTTGGATTGGAACGTACCATAACTGTTTTGCATTGGAATTGTGTACGTGCAATACAACCCAGCATACTCTCAAAACTAATTCGACCATTCTATAAATCGAAATGACCAGGAAACGCTAGGTGAATGTACAACTTTTGGCAACAACACCTTACAATAAATAAGAGCCTTTGCAGCTGGATCCAAATGCGAAACTTACCCTTGCCAAAACACGTAATTTTCCCTGTTCACCTTCGCACCCTGGACGTAAACATCGAAAAGGACCTCGCAAAATCGATCGGGAAACCACAGCACTTCTCACTCGCGGTATATTTAAAGCGCCGTGTAAAAATAGAGGCTCGTAGCACTGTCCGAAAAATCCCCAACAGATCGGCCCTACAGCCACTCCCAGAGACGAATAGGTCCTCAGTTTCGTACCGAAAAGCACGGGCTCGACGTTGAAACCCGGTCCTGTGGTATACGCGACCCGAACAGCGAATAGGGGGCTTATACACGTGACTGAGGTCACGCGCTGAGATGGATTCTATCTCAAATCAAACTCGGTACTTTGCTACGGGTTATCCAGACGCAAGATTATGCACCGCGATGGAGCTCCAGCTACGCACTTGCCAAAAACGTCAAATTTAGATCGCGCGACATTGCCACGGTATAGTAAAGTTTCAGCAGTTCTGCGTAAAATTCTTTCTGCTAGAAAATGTTAACGGCAATAATAATTTAAAAAAAACCTAATATTTCTGGGCTATTTTGAATTTGAAAAATCGTCTATGCCATTTTATAAAGGCCGTTTGTCACGATACGAATTTTTTTACACAATAATGCTGTTTCGGATAAAAAGGTCTTGTTTCTGTCAACCTAGAACTTTCTTTTGTCACAATGTCAAACATCTATTCTAACCACACTTTTTGTTGCAGTTTCGACTTTCGGTCAGATTTTTTTTTTTCGGTTTTGCCATCAATTCAGTTGTTATCGTAGTTTTCCACTCATTCTGCTGCTACGTATTGCTTATGCCAAATCCAAACACGGTTTTTAAATGATTGGCGTCTCTATGTGAGCATATATTTGGTCAAAGTGCTATAGATGACGCGAAGTATCACATTTCAATTTTGATAACTTTTTGGCGAAATATACTACGAGTATAAGCTTGACTTTATTCAAATTGCTTCTGCCCGCTTTTGTATTAAGCATTTTTGGAACAGACTAAACAGTTTCTGAAATTGATCATACAAAATTAAATGCTGTTTTTTGCTATTTCTCTTCAGCACCTCATCGTGTCAGATGTTCCTGAACGGAATTTTCAATTCAGATGTTTCAGACATCTAGGACTTTTTTTGTAACATATCTGCAGATTGCCCTTTTTGCTATCATTTCCTGGACTATTATATATTAGAAGAAAGTAGGTGCGATGGCAATAAATACATAATCAAAGACATTCTATGATGTTCCCAAAATCTCAGAAACCGCTGAAATACTGAAGTGGCCCTAAGATCTCAGGAATAAGGATTAGGAATATAGATGAGTGACCGGTTCTTACCTTCTAATGACTATTTAGAAAAACTTCTGAGGTTTTTTTAAAGAGGCCTCATAAGAATTTTTGCCGGTGGTGGTCTCGCCGACTCTAATCGCTACACCGCTGTGCTGAACAGATTTTGATAAAATTTGGACAGTTTACTATATATGTATATTCAATCATTGTCACTGTCGGTGCATTTTATCGTAGGAGTAATATAATTAAATTAGTTCACAATTTTTAAGGGATTCTGATATTTTCAGAAGATGTGGGACACAGTGGCATCGTTGCTAGATACCACAAATGTCAATGTAAAGTGTAAAGGAAGCAAACAAGAATTATTTTCAGTTTAGACTTTCCTAACGTAGGCAACCTCTATTGCACAATTATGGAAAAAGTATTTGAGGAATGAAAAATAAACAGAAGAAGAAAGCTCCATTAAGGTATATCCATCCGTTATAAATACAAACGGATGAAACTTTGAAGAGGTGCTCAAACTTCTACAAAAAAGCAATCGAAAAAGTATTACTGGTTGTCTACCTACGCCTAGGTAGTAGTGATGAGTTCAAAATTAATTCGATGAATAATTTCCAAAATGAACGGTCAAACATTTGTGGATAGAATAGGGTATTGAAGACGGATAACGTTATCAAGCGAAATTTAACAATTGGCGTATTCACCGGTTGAGCCACCGATGCAAGCAATTAACCAATTTTTCTTCTTTTAATTTCCGTCTGAGCAACCGGTTGTACACCAAACTTGTCTATATAGTTTATAGACAAGTTTGGTGTACAACCGGTCGCTCAGCCGGAAATTTTGGTTGTATCACATGTTTGTATATCCTAATCCCAAATCAAATCAATAAAGAGATCCGCCCAGCTCATCTCTATTCCACGGTTTGACATTGCCCGAGTGTCAGTTTTGATGTTTTACATGTGTTTTGACAACATTTATATAAACAATTTTTAAATTCAAAAATGTTGATATTATTCCACTACATTACAATTTTATTATATCAGCTAATGAGACATAGAAAAAGGATAAAATGCTTACATGCTAAGAAACAAAATTACAACCATATGATGTGTAATAATATGTATATGTTTAATACTCGACCCGAAGTACATAAATATCGTAAATTATTTGAAATAGTGGAGGACGAACGATGGAATCATAGAATAGAGAAATTAGTTGATCTCGGTAGCGGTAATCTAAGTATTATATACACTCTTTTAGGTAAGATTTCATTCATAACATTCTTTCCTACAAAGTTGGAAGTGATCTCTGCACTGTCGCTTTCATATTCATAGACTTTTAGTTTAATAGGTGCATAGTATACATATAGTTTCAACCAAAGCACAAGATCATTTCTACTTTGTATTTGTATGGTATATTGGAAAAAGCTATGATATTGTTGTGCAGCTTAAGCTTTTCATAAATGTAAGATATGCGCATTCATTGTGAATACTTCTCATTTCTGAGCGCTCCTCCATGATGTCTGTACATCTTAAGACAAACCTTCTAGGCTTCTGCATGCCACTCTTACTGGCGACATGTCTGCAACTGTTTCATAGCAATCAGAGTACCTCGGTAGGTAATTTCTGACTCCATAGTTGCTCCAGTGCGAAAAATTATATTGTTAGCAGATCATCTGCTGCTCTATACCAGAAAAAACTTAATATTGCTAGTAGGACTCCATGATTCTCTGGCTGTTTAATGAAGTCACATACATTTGTCAGCAAAAGAATCATAGGATGTTTCATGTGTTTTTTTATAATGAAGCAGAAGCCTAAATACAAGGGTATCATGGCTGCTATAAAGAACTTAAAGACTCCCAGCAATAGCAGTATTTGACAGGATGTTTCATGCCACATTAAGTCCTCCTGTTTCATTAATATTGCTGTATTTTCCAGAGTGTTTTCAGTTTTACCCCATTTGGTTTATTTTTCATGGATATACTTCATGGTGATGCAGAATTACCCTGTTCTGTTTCAGAAGTAGAAAACTTAAACCAAATCCTGTTAGTAGACATAAATGAAGAATTATTAAGAGAAAGCATATCCAGTTTAGATCCTCATGTATATTTACCTCGTTTAAGTAAGAGGTATAAACACTTAGATATAAGTATATTGGCTGGAAATGTTGCGGATTCTGATTATAGGCTATTGAGGAGTGATGCAGTTACAGCAGTTAATTTGTAAGTACTGACATGGCTGATTATTAAAATTCATAAGAAATATTACATTGTTTTGATCAACTTTTTACTTTCCCTTTCCAAGTTATTCAGCATGAATACAGAGTGCTGTCAAACTTGGTACTTCCTTTTCTAAAAGAACTGTATTTAATCAAAATAAATAATATCATTCAGCATTAACTTCACTGGAGGCAGATCCAATTTGTTATCGAAGATGTCATGGAAAATTCAGTTTTAGATGATGGAATATTCATATCTCTATATGAAGGCTTAAGACTTCCATGTATGTTTTACTAAGAAAAAATGTTTATTATGTCTACTGGAAAGTCCATTCCCAAATCAACAATTTTCGACAGGTATGCGCATCTTTGTCATATGTCTGTGTCACATTTCTACTAATGAAGGTCTACATGCTGGTCTTCTAAATGAAGTATATAGTAAACAAGTTATGAGAATGAGAAGTGTATCAATGGCTACTGATGAGGTCCATTTACGCCACTGTATTTTGTACAAATTCCAACAAGAAAGAAATGCTAAGAAACAAACTGACTGTTTCATACCATATTTGGAAATTACGACTAGCCTGCAAATATTCCGGATGGGTGCCAATGTACATATCTGTTTGCACGGAGCAGACTTGAACCTTTGTTGGATGTCGTGATGAAAACAGCATACTTTGAAACGGGGAAACCTGCTTACTCCTCTTCTAAACTGAATTTGAGCCTTGGCAAGAAATTGTCTATATGGTGGAACATCTGCGAACCAATGTATGACATGCTGTTGAAACCGATTGAAAAGCCGAATCTGGAGAGGTATTGTCAGCAATTAGATAATTTCAAGAAGGGTGGCGATATTTAATGGAAAGGACAATTAGGCCTCTTGTTCACGGCACGTTTTTCGCCGTAAAAATCTACGGTTAATTCGCCGTAGGTAGGCACGGTTATCAGTGTTGTATGGATCACAGTGGGAGCTTGTAGACATACACGGCAGCGCTACGTTACGGCAAAGCTGCCGTGCTCGCCGTGAAAGCCCCTCGGCGCGCCGCGTCTGGCGACGGCGTGATTTTCATCAGTGTTGTATCGCAGTGCATGAGAGCTTGTCGATGGTGCCGGACGTTTTCACGTTTTGGGAAAGATATTACACAGGCTGATGAAATAAGCGATAAAATGGACATCAATCAAGAAGTTCTTATAACATTAGTTCAAGAAAGGCCGGTGATCTGGGATAAGACGATAGAAGGTTATAAAAATAAACGCCTGAAGTTTGATTGCTGGAAAGAAATATTCGTACAATTGAATCCCGCATTTGAAGATTTAAGTGGTGAAGAAAAGAACACTTTTGGTTAGTAACTGATATATTTCTCACTTACAGTAATCCACTTAAGCATAGTTATTTTGATAAGAGAGGCTACCTTCGTTAGACATAAAATATTGTGCAAATTTGTTGCGAACATCGTTAGCTAACAAATTTCCGCGAACTGCATTCGTCATAGGTAACTGTGTTAGTTCCGATTCTGATTCAAAGGTTGATTCTCTTTCACTCGTATTATCAAACTGAAACTTTTCCTCTTTATGTACAAAATTTTGTAAAATGCAACAAGCTTTCACAATATCCACAGCCAAATCGATGGAAACATTCAGTGGCCGGTGGAGAATACGCCATTTATTGGCTAAAATGCCAAAACCACATTCAACAAATCTTCGTGCTCTTGTGAGTCGATAATTGAACGTTCGTTTTAATTGGTCAAGTTGATGGCCTCCGAATGGACGAAGTAAGTGATAGTGCAGAGCAAAGGCTTCGTCTCCAACAAACACAAACGGTAATTTGTAGTCTGTTCCAGGCAAGCGGATTTCGTCGGGTAGGTTCAGTGTATTGTTTGTTAAGTTTTTCCAAAATGCAGTTTCTTTGAAAACACTGGAATCACATTCCTTTCCGTAGGCACCAATATCAACAAATATAAAATTGTAATCGCTATCTACTACCGCCATTAAAACTATAGAAAAATAATGTTTGTAATTCAAAAACATCGAACCACTATCCACTGGCTTAATCACTCTGATGTGTTTACCATCGACTGCACCTAAGCATAGCGGGAAATCAGAAGATTCTTGAAACTTGTTAGCTATTTGTAGCCAGTCTTCCTTAGAAGGCATTTTCATATACTCTTTGCACAGTTCTGACCAAATACACTGGCAAACTTCACGTACGATGCAACTTATGGTTTTTACTCCAATTCTATAGGTGTAGTGTAGGTCTGTAAACGTAGCTCCTGTTGCTAGGTATCTGAAATACAATGATAAAAATTAATTTTATTTACAGGGCAACATGTGATGAAAAAATGGACCAATATGAAAGATAATTGGATGAAATGTCATAAAAAAATGGGTGAATATAAATCTGGCGCTGGAGCACACAAAATAAGAAAATACAATTTTTATTACCAAATGCTATTCTTAAGCAAAATTGTAGAACATCGCAAGACTGATTCCAGTATGGATGAGCATGTTAATAGTTCAGGCATCAATAATGAAAATGCAGAACCGAATCCATCAAGATCACAGAACGGTAAAGCGAGTGAGGCTCCAAAGGCTAAGCAGAAGAAAAAAAATAATCAACTTAGTGAGGTTGACATTAAGTTTATGAAGTTTATGGATGTAACGGCACAGGAGGAGAAAAGCCGCAGTATGAACTTTTTTAGAGGAATTTCTGATTTAGTTGACAAGTTTACTGATGAAAACATGATAGACTTCCAGTTTCAAGTCATTTCAATAATTAAAAGCATACAAGAAAGAGAAAATAACCGATATATAGCAGCACCTAGAAACCAATGGGATCATGGCCAGCAAGGATATCAAAGCGGCACAACACCTGCGAATTCACAGTTTTCAGTGTATGGGCATTCCACAGCTGCTCGATCAGGCTTTGGAATCAATGGCCAGGAATACGATTTTGGACATAGCTCTGGTTTAGAGCCCATCCCCAACCGACCAGAATTGCAAGCATCTGCTCAAAGTGTGAATACAGAAAGTACCTCTGCAAATTCTCAAGCCAGTACTGAAGAATTCGATTTTAGCTCTGCATTTCGGGAGCATCTTTAGCTTCAACTTAGTTTTTTTACGTAACTTATAATCATTCATAGTACAAGTTCGTTTGAGATACAAGGCTTTGTATTAATACATAAATTTAAGTAAAAGTATTTAGTTTGATTTTTTACTTACCTCAACGTTACAGCCAATCTTTCTGCGGGAGGTATGCTTTGTCGCATATTGGTATCTTGGTGCTTTAATTTCTGTGATAATTTTTGCAGCAGTTTATCGAAAGTTGTTTTCTGCATTCTGAAATAATTGTAAAACTTGGCTTCATCCTCCCTCAATTGATTCTTGACAAGCGTATGAAATGCGCCTAATTCTCCCCGTTTTTTCAAGATCGGGTGTATCCAAAACCTTCTTTTTCTTCTCTCTTGTTTTTTCAGTCTTCTATACACATAGTACGCAAGCACAATCTTTTTCTTAGGATTCATGGCGAGGACTTCTATAGTTTGCCGCAGAAAAGTCTCAACTGAGCTCACTTGGATTCATTCGACGGGCACCTTTGCCGTGCCCCGTGCAAGCTTGCACGTTTTTGTAACCGTACGGCAAAAAAAACGTGTCGTGAACAAGAGGCCTTATAGTGCCAGACCAAGCACCGCTTTGAAGACTCGTCAAAAAATCGCACAGGCTGGCTGGGAGTTTTTGCGACATTCCCCATACTTTCCCGACCGACTCTCACTATCTTTGCCTTACAAGATATTCTGTAGGGTAAAAAATTCAAAAATGAAGAAATCCAGTGAGCAATTGATCAATTTTTTGCAGCTAGAGATAAAATGTTTTATAAGAATTATTGAAATATAGCCACCATGTTGATAAGAGATTATAAATAATTGTGGACCTCCTTATATCATTCATTAAAATTAAAAATCTTGCTTTGGCCTGAAAAGGGACAGGACTTTCCGGTAGATTATTAACTTTTTCTTCCTGCAATTCCCTGGAGTGTTCATTGTTCTAGGTTGGAAAGTTTATATCCTGATGCTTTGGATGCTTTACCATACAACATATTCACTTTTATAGAACCAAAGATCGTGATATTTGTTACTTCAATATCAACAAGTTTGAGTGATATTTCCGGTAAAGACCTTAGGTTTATGTGGTCTAGACAACAATTTGAAGACTGGTGAGTTTAATTAATATATTTCCCACGATGTATCTAAAAAAGAGAAACTAAGACTATTCTTTAGACATTAGGTCTTCAAAATTGTGCAAATATTTTTTATTTCAGGTCAAACAATATGAAGATTCGTTTCCCTGATTACAGCTGTCATTTTGAAGTGATCCATACACCAAAAAAGACGGATTTCAGTTGGTTACAACTTAGTGAGATCTCCGAAGTAGCTTTATTTTTGAGGCGCGACCTTCTGGATCCTAAGTATACACTCAAGTCATGTTCAACACAGTGTCTCTGTCGGATTGATTCACCCTGTCGAATTATCTCATCATCATCTAAGGTTGGTATACTTCGGGACTCGATTTAAACACTTGATGTTACGAATGTGTCTAGAGACCGGGGAATTTAATTTTACGACGAAAAAAGAAGCGCATCAGAATTGAATCGGTCATTTCAAAAGTTATATTTCTTTTTCAAGAGGGATACAACGATACAATGATTTTATCTTTTGTATAACAGATGTTGTGTCACTGTGTATGCCCACTTTGCTGTCCTTCTCTCTCCTTCGGCGTCTGCAACTACCACAGTGCCACCAAGTCAGCGTTGTTCCTCAACGAAGATAGTGACTACTCTCCTGAGAACCCAGACTTCAACATCTTCTATAAGCTGGTGGCACATAGTGTTCTGCCATTTGAAGACGAGTCTAACAGCGAAAAAACACATGTCGATCTTACATCTGCTGGAGAAGACAGGCATACTGCAGTATCGTGTGGCGAGGAAGATATCGAAGCAAGCTATTTGAAGGAGACTAGAGGACTCACTGAACAAGAATTGCTGTGAGTTGTTCGAATTTTTGTAGATAATATTGCTTACTGCTTTCTATCAGGCAAGTGATGTTTTGGCCTTGTTGGGATTGGTGAGTGCGACATAGGTCTAGGGTAGAGGATAGAAAGAAATGAGCATACTCAGGAAATGCGAAAAGTTTTTTCGATGTTTCTCCAAGATGCGGAAAACTTGGATTTTTTATTACTCTAACATACCAAATAAAACGCACCCTTGCCTTTTTGAATGAAACATTTTCTTCCCATCCAATAATTCCTGTTTTACCTGCCCAGTATGCGCTTTCTTGGTGACTATGTTTTTAGGTGTTTTGTAGCTGTGAAGTTGGCAATCCGAAATTATAATTTTAGGTTGATAACTTATGACCTTGCTGCTGACAGGTTGTCAGAAAAATCGTTTTCATTTTTGTCATCATTTCACTTTAAAGAATCGACCAAATTCCAGTATCATTCAAATTTACAGGAAAATCCTTCTAGAGCAGGACCTCAAGTTTGAAGAATGCCGATTAGAGAAGAACTGGGTAAGTGAAGATGTTTTGCTCGTTCTCTTCGTCATGGCAAAAACGCATTTGGAAATCAAAATTTACTTACTGCTTTAGTGATATGGAATTTGTATAGCCTTTATGAGAATATAAATATCCTTACATGTGGATATCATGCTAACATAACATACATATAAGAAACTGAAAAACAATATACATAATACAAATGTAATATGTACTCTTTGGATCGTAGACTAGCAATAAAGAAATGATATATGTTAGTTTTTTATCGTTTATTTTTATTTCTAGTATATAATTTATACCAAAATAATTTTTTTATTTCTAAAAGTTTTGATTCTATAAATAGCGATTTGGAGTGATATACTAATGGTTTGTTATCAATTGTTTTCATGAATAGTTTTTGTATTATTTGTAAATAATTTAGATGGCGGCTATTATCTATTATTCGTGGATCCCCAGATAATAATTCCATAGGTTAAATGGCTTTCAATTAATGTTTGATATACAATTTTTAATTGAGTTGCATGGGAAATTTGTCTGTAATATCTGAATTTATATAAATCTAAGTTTCTTTTTAATGTATTAGATATGTTAATCCCAATGAAGAAGGCAGTCTAAAACAATTCCGAGATATTTATTATTTAGTTTACTTGATATATAGTCATTCTGGAGATTTGTTTTCTTTATATTAAGCTGATTATATGGCGGTAATTTATTTATGTGAGATGTGAAGGGAATAAAGTACTTTTTTTATAATTAATATTTTCCCATATTCTTCAAATTTCCGTAAAAGGTGAAGTATGGAACACAAAATGCATCAAAATATTTTCGAGACTATTTCATTTGATATAAGAAAATAATTATAAAAATATCAATCGACAGTGCGCAATTTGAGCAGCGTTAAGACGTTACTGCAAAACTGGAATATAGCCCTTTCCTTAGTTTTTGAAATTTTCACTTAGGACGCTGATGTTAATTATTGTGTGCCCGACAATTTGTGGAAATGTTACCCCCTTATCTTCATCTTACAGTGTATAGACTGCCCCACTAGTCATACATTATTTGTTGCTTTAGGAGCCACATCATCAGTATAGTGAGTGCGCTACATCGTCTCGCGCGTATGACATGGATGAAATCACCAGCAATACAGATGCGCCTGATTACGATAGTGATAGCGTGAAAAAATCGCCAAAACATTCACCTTTAGATTGGGAGGAGAACGAGAAAAAGAAATTGTCAAATGAAAGCAACAGTAGCACAAAAGGTACACAAAAATTACCTTAGGCAGTGTTCACACTAAAAAAAAAATTGCATTCTGTTTGTTGAAGTTCATAATTCGGTAATTATTATTTTAGATATTTCAGCGCCAGAAACAAGTGGCAAAGTCGAAGCAACAGATCAGAAACAGGACGCTTTGGTCGACTCTGGTTATCAGAAGTCTCCATCACCTATAGAAAGTTCACCAGTAGATGACTTAGAAGAAACTGATCTTTTTGAGGAATCAACTAGCACGCCAAGTGTTGAAAGTGACGATAACAAGGCATGTCTAGGATTCGGACCTTAAGATTTTTTATATTTTTTATTCGAAATAATTTTCCAGGTGCATTTGAGGAAAGCCTCTGGAGCAATGGAGAAACCTCATGTTACGCCTCTTCAGCCGGACCTCGCTAAGTTCAAACTTGACGTCAATAGAATCAACGAACTGGACAAGTTTCACAACATTCCACCAGGGAGAACATTTTTTAATCACTTGCTGAAATCTCAAGATGCGTCTAAGCGAAGTTTTCTTAAAGATAAAGGTTGGTATGTTAATCCTTAGGCACCGTTCTTACCAAAAGCAGCCCGAGCAACTCTCAACAGGTGTGCGACGTCAGCAATGACTCATAACAGAAGTGACGTCATCAAAACTGTAGATTCGTTTACGCAGGAAAATTTAAACTGTTGGCTTGAAAGAGCATTTGATAACTTGTTTCAAATATTCTAATCAAGTTCAAAACTACTTTCAAAATGATCTTTTTGACCGTTGCTTGGGTATAAACACAGTCATCCAGATTATTTTTTCTCGCAGACTTACCTGGCCCTTCAAGCGTGCCCCTAGCACCGCGCAAGCGCAAAAAGTACAAGAAACCCCCAGGGGCTGATACCGAAGAGGACAGCCCCTTCGACGATTGCAAATCGATCACGAATTGCCTCATCAAAAACACTCTAAACAAATTGGAGGTTAACGATGCGGACGAAGTGAGAAACAGCGGCCGGGATGACGTCATCGAGTTCAACGTGGAACCGGAAATGGTCGTCGTGGTGGGGGAAGATGTGGAGCCACAAGAACCGGAAGTCGTAATAGTGGAAGTGGCTGAACAGGTAGTGGCCGTTTTGGAGCAACATCTGGATGCTGTGCAACAGGGTGAAGCACAACCGGTCATGGAGAACGGGGATCTGGCGAATAATAATAGAGATATTGAAGGTAATTTTTTCACTTGACTGAAAGCGCGATCCTGTCAAGGTGGGTCAATCACGGATACGTTGAAACTGCCAGATCAGAATATGAAATTAAATCCTCTTTCAGGTAATAATTACATAGCTCCAGAAAATCAGGAAATCGTCGAAAACGATATCGAAAACTTCAATCTAGTCATAGTGGAACCTGTCCAAGAAATACACTTGGTTCAAGAAGTCTTTAATGTGCATGATATCGCTGACAACAACAATCACAATGCTGAAGACTTACAAGTGAGTGTTTATTATATGTTTTGATATTCTACCTTAATAGGAAATTTATTACACAGGGCCTAGAACATGAAAAAAGGGGATTTTCTAACCTCGATAGGTCAAACACAGAATTATTCCTGATTATTTTTTTAATTAGGACAGAAGAAAAACAATGAACCATAAAAGCTTTATTCAAAAAAATATAGTTCAAAAAAAAAACAAATTAATGGTAACTTCTTAAAAATAGTTACTAAACGTTTATTTCTTTCGTCGCAGATTGGTGTAAGGTAAATTGTTTTAGTTTCGGTGACGATCAGTGACCGATCATCTTTTTTCCATACAACGTCTGTGACATCTTTTTTCCCTTGCACGGCAAGTTTTCAGTTGGACCTAACTACGAACTGTCATTGTTTTTGCGTGTTCCCGATACCTCCTCGGATTGTACTGCGTTAAGACTACATGTTGCCGGTTCTAACTACAAAACACGAAATTTCTGCCCTCTTTTTTCCCCTGTACCCTTCATATTTTCCGTCTCTTTCACATTATTCAAGTATGCAAAAGTGATATTACCTGACACCAGGTAATAGAAGACCCGGCCGTCTTAGTTGAAGGGGTGGGCGAGAACGAGAACGACCAAAACAACGCTGCCCATCAAGACGAACAAGAGCAACCGGAACCAGCTGGAGTCGCCAGAGCCAGCAGGGAGGCGCTGTTTGACCCCAACAGCGAGCCTGACCTTCTGGAGGACGTAGATCTGCCTATCCTGCAGGAGGAACCCTCCGCGATGGAGGATATTGAATTGGTCGATGTGATCGAGTATGGGAACAATATTGTGCTGATCGGGGTTAGGCCAAATCCAGAGGATCCAGGTTGGTACAAGAAGTAGCTTTAAAGTCTTAAATTGGGGGAATGTGGAAAGCTAGACGTTGGTGGCGAAGACAAAGATTTCAATTGCTGATCAGCTCAGGGTTATCACGTTAACCGAAGAATCGCTTCTACAGAACTACTTATTTTAATGCGAAATCTACCGGAAAGATTGAACTATATTTTTCTCTATTTCAAAAGTGATTTGTTTCGTATTCTGTGTTGTAAAATCACTCAACGAACCACAAATACACTATTGCTGTAGTACGGATAGTTTTTTATCATTCTCTCAAAATTGTCTGACTGATTATTGGCATTGGGGTCAACCAGCAGTGCTGAAAGGACATTTTCATAAGTTAACTGTATGAAAACTAGAGAAGTATATACCAGTACTGTCTCATCTGCTTCTCTCAAAAAGTCGCATATCAGTAGTCCTGATAAAGGGGGTAATTTTATTCCCGCTCCCTTAGTTTCCAACATAACAAACATTTGTATTTCTGGTTTGATATATTTCAATTTAAATGTAAACTAGTCTAATTAAATACCTTTTACTGCTTTTTGGTACTTCATTTAGCGAAAAAATCCATAATCTACCGAAAAGTTTCGCACAATTCTATCGAAGACAGATCGACTGCTCCTGGCAATACTGGATCAGCTGCTCACGTCAATAAACTTTAACACGTGATGAAGTCGTGAAAATAAGTTGCCCTTCTATCAAATCTGTCTTTTTCTATCTGCGTTTGACAATTTAACCTCGAGCGTATCATTATTCATTCTATACACAGGGTCCACCACAAAGGTCGGACGGTTTTTAAAAAAATCACTAAATCGGTAATTTTTACTTGAAAAAATTATCCTTGTCATCAAGAATGATTTTATTTTTCAGAGAATAAAACATATTTATCTATCTTACCTACGTATATATTGCTTGTATGATTGCTGTATGGTGGTGCATAACACTATTATCCTGCAAAAGTACCAAAATCAACAAGGACTTTGTTCATAGATGCACCTGTTGACGTGGATGCTTTCCCCAGATGGTTGCTTCAAATTTTGGGAGCGCAAGCAGGCCAAAACGAAGAAGATGGAACACTGGATGCTTCGGATGGGCCTCATTTCTACTGCCAAGGAGACGGGTTAGGTATTTAATATCATTTAGAATATCAATTTCAACATATCTGATACAAATGAAACACTGCGCTATTACTATGAAAAATATAAAAAAATAATGGACAACTCCACAAAAAGATAGAAAGTGGACTCGAGCAAAAAAAGGATAGGTGACCCGAGCAATACGTGTTTCTGCTTGTTGGCTTCATCAGGCCCGAAATGAATGCACATATGTAACTACAAAAGTAGATACATATGCTCATCCGGATACGGGTGTAACTCGAGGAAACTAAGATGGAGAGGGAACAAAACAACACACGAAATCACCATCAAGATTATTATGAACGCGTATTTCTTTTTACTTGAAGTGAAGTAGTTTTTAATTGGACAGGCATCCATCCATCGGTTATAGCTGTCGACGCTGAGGAAGATGAAGAATCAACGCAATCTTCTAATTCTGGTGAATATGCTGATGTAGAGCAAGGTAATGAAATTATGAGTTTTTAGGTTTCTTATATTCCAAGTTGCACTGTACAACTTAAGCTAGTAACAGCATCAAACCAATGTTGCCATTCATACTGCCTATAATTTTTGAAATTCATACCAACATAATATGTCTATATCTTACCAAGAAGATGCCCAACATTATGCTGTATTTGGACTTTTACATATGTTATAATTTGTTTCACAGACATGTTGCCAAATATTTTCTTAGAAGTTGAATAGGATAGGTTTCCCTTTTAAAGAAAACTGTTAATTAAATATGACATCAACCTTCCAAGGCAAGATGAAGATTTCGTATTCTTAGTATTTCTCAACGACACGTTAAAGGAAATCCCATAACCTGCGCCAACAAGCCGAAAGGTAGCAACGCTGACACCTGAAGTCGGGTGGTCGAATGTATATACAGGGTTATCCAAATTAAGTGTCCACCATTAGTAACTTTGTTATTAGTGAAAATGCAAAGTTGTTTGAATTAGCAAACTAGTAGTATTTTTAACGCTGGTAAAAATGAGAAATAAAAAAAAACAATTGAGAGTCGTTATTTTGATTTTTTTCAGTAAAATAACATTTTTTTTAAATGGAAACCCCTGTATATTATATTTTTTTCTGTTAAAGCATCAAATTTTAAACAAAAAAGTTCATAATGACTTTTCCGCTAAAGTCAAAAATAAAGTCAAAATAACGATAAATATTTTTAATTATTTGCAGTATTATAATATTAAGACGGCTATGAAAACAACATGGCGTTCGCGATTTGACAGCATTAAGATAAGCGACAAATTGTTAAACTGGACATACTCGCAACTAGAAGGCTTTGGGAAACAATGATAAAATCAAATAATGTCAAACATTAGTGTAAATACTTGTTTATAAGCTTTATTGTGTCATTAATTTAAAGAAAAATGTTCTCCCATGAAGAAAAGTGTGATATGTTAGAATGCTATTTAGTGTGCAGAAAATCCTCCTTGAGAGCAAGAGAATACTACAGTGAATTATATCCCGCTCGCATTCAACCGTATGAACGATATTTTCTGAGACTTTATCGAAAATTTAGGGGCAACGAAAATGTTTTTGCTAAAACAAGGGCAAAAAAAGAATTCATAATAAGCGAGGCCACGGAAATTGCAGTTATTGGATATTTTGAAGCTTATCGTGAGAATTCAATAGCAGATATTCTCAAGGACTCTAATTTCAGTTATGGTACTGGATTTTAAAAAAATACAAATTTATTCCGTATAAGTACCGACCAGTTCAAACGCTTTTGGCAGGGGATCCAGAGAGAAGACTTGTTTTTTGCCATTGGTATCTTAGCTTCTGTCGCCAAAATGTAAATTAAATAACTTTCGTTACCTTTTATGGACAGATGAATCAAATTTTTCAAATTCTGGAATGTTTAATAGAAAAAAACACCATTATTGGTCAAGAGAAAATCTTTTGTTAGTACATCCAAGAGGCCCACAAGTCCGTTTCAGTTTCAACGTTTGGTGCGGTATAATTGGTTCAAAAATTGTTGGCCCGTTCTTTTATGAGGGAACCCTAACTGGTGAAAGATATGTGGAATTTATGTCAGAAATTCTGACTAATTTCTTAGACGAATTGGATCTTATAAGTAGACATCATCTGCATTTTCAGCAAGATGGCGCACCTGCCCACAACTCCAGAGGTACTTATCATTTTCTAAGTACTACTTTTAATGATCAGTGGATAGGAACAAATGGCCCAATACAGTGGCCTCCCAGATCACCAGATCTAAACCCACTTGATTACTTCTTGTGGGGTTACTTAAAGAACCAAATTTTCAAGCGAAGGTACGATAACCTTGACGCGTTAAAGACTGCAGTTAGGGAAAAGATAACCCAGAGAGGTGGTAGGACCATACTTAAGACAGTTCGAGCAATTGAAAAACGTGCCCAAAAATGTATTGAAGAACAAGGTGGTGTTTTCGAGCATCTTCTTTAAAAAAAATTGTTATTGTATTTTGTAAGATTATAAGTTGATGTTGAAAATAAAGTTTGTCGATACAATTTAATTGTTTCAGATTGGAGGCCATAACTTCAACAATTTGTAACCTAGGAGAAAAGTTATTGTAAGCTTTTTTGTTTAAAATTTGATGCTTTAACAGAACAAAATATAATATACAGGGGTTTCCATTTAAAAAAATGTTATTTTACTGAAAAAAATCAAAATAACGACACTCAATTGTTTTTTTTTTATTTCTCATTTTTACCAGCGTTAAAAATGCTACTAGTTTGCTAATTCAAACAACTTTGTATTTTCACTAATAACAAAGTTACTAATGGTGGACACTTAATTTGGATAACCCTGTATAGTGTATTCAAATCTCATTCACGTCATGTCTGGGCAGGCAGCGACAAGCGAATAGAAGCGGCGATCCAGAGCTCATGTTTGTTTTGACGCGTAGTAAATGAGGTTTAAATCGGCTTTAATTGTCATCATAAGTGGTTGAATTGGGTATCTTCTGGTGAAATATGTTAATAATGGATATTATATAACATTTTGCTTCAAGAACCGTCATCACAAGACGCCGCCTCCCTGCCAGAGGAGTCTCAATCTTTGGTGGAACCCACGACCAGTATGCAAGAGGACATTGTAACGGTTGCTTCAGTAGAACCGACCACATCCCAGCAAACAGAATATTTTGATTCTGACACTGCAGAACACCCGGGCGATACTTGAGATGTCTCATCTTTCTGGCCTGTGTAGGCCCGGAACGAATAAATGTCATGTCAAGCTGAATATCCTGTATATTACCCGTTTGTCTCTTGATAAGACTGAGTTTGATCTAGTACAAAACGAAATAAAGCATTCATTCTTATATGTATTTTTATTTATTTCTATCCGCGGTACAATACCAAACCGGAGCCGGTCCTGTCCTATCCCTCGATCACGCCCACAGCGCCAGCATACAGTTATATTACGTACTACTACGATGTAAATATGGATTTTACGACAGAGCCGTACTTGGAATTTCTATTCAACTGAACAGTGAGTACTTTTTTATTTTTTTTTTTTACTTGTTCGCTCACGTTTCACCACACATTAGCTTTGTTATATCAAGCGTAGTTGTGTCTGAAAAGGAAAACCCCAACTTTGCGGACACCCTGCATAAACGCAGCTATGAGCGTTTTCTTCTATTTAGGTCACCACTTGGGTAATTGCATTTTTGTATCTATACTCTTGTAGAACCAATAAATTCGAATACATTAGCAGGAGCCAACCTCATATGTTTACATTGCATTGTTTGTCGCCAAAATTGCTTAGTTTCACTGTACACTTTTGACTCATTTGTCTACCAATGCCTACCAAAGCTGACTAGCACTGTTTGAAAACAATATTACAAAATTTAGCTTAGCGGCGTTTTCTGCTCTCCTAGCGGGCCATAATTACTTGTTATCAAAGGTATTGTAATTTTTGGTGACAACAGCTGTCAAATTTTGTCGCGGGTAAACTGGAAAAAATACTGAAAGGCACTGTCATACAATTTTTCCATCTAGAAACTATTTGTAATTCAAAATTCCCCGTTTGCGATTGGAGAAATTAAGTCGAGGGAAATAGTCGTCATGAAAACCGCAGGATAGGTTTCAGATGCTACATTAACACAAAAACTGGTGCCACGGCTTGACTTGTATTTGAATGCAGTTTTTTTTTAGTTTAATAACTGTGGCATGCTGGCGATTTCCGATTGTACAAATGAAGCCAGAATTGTGGAACGACTTGATATTTCTTCAGCTGATAAAAGTAATCTTAGCAGTGACGATTGAGGTTTTCTAGGGCTTTCCTCACCCAAGTGCGAATGCAGTCACTAAAAGCCATATTCCCCTACTAAATAGTAAAGAAAATGAAAATCGGAAAAAATGTTTTCTTTTTCCAATTGTTGTTCAAAAAGTATTTTATCCTATAAATCTGGGCAATTATATAAGTGTTTAGAGACATTAACGTCCCGCCGCATAGACGCCAGGCGACGCAAAATGTAAATTTAGTTTTTTGGCAAACATTGCTACGCCTCAAATTTTATATATCTCCATTGGTATCCCTCAATGTTTTATTCAAAGCTACTTTTTTATATTTCTAGCAAAATAGCAGAGGTGGCAAACTTGTCCGATAAGCTGGCAACGCAGCAATTTAGGTGACAACAATGACAAGGTCAACTGCCAAAACGTATGTCTATCCCGGGGTAAGGACGTCGTATAGTATGTCAAAGCGTCAGTTTTCCAATCTTCATTTGCATTTTTCAAGGGGTGTGCAACGATTTAGAGAAAAAATTTTCTAGCACAAAACATATACACTATTTTGTGGTTAAACCGCTCCCACACAATGTGGCGACTGACTTACAACATTGGTCACATGGCAATTCGCCACATCGTGTGGGAGAGCGCAGACGGGTTGCATGTGTCCAACGTTCGCCAGATGGCACGTTCGGGCTCCTGTCGGTAAATTTGATCCGCGACAAACAACGTTGGAAGCATGGTTCGTTACGCTCCCACACGAGATGACATGTGTTTGATGGTTTTAGGTCAGAACCAGTAGCGGCGACAAACATTATTTATTTGTTTGCTGTGATTGTGGTGATGTAGTGGTATGTGGGAAGTATTTTGATTTGAATACCTTCCTATCCATAATATGTATTAAATTAGTATGCATACAAAACATAGGCTGTCATAACAGCACTTTTTTCATATTGCACTCGAACAAATTGTTTCATCGTTTATTTTGTATAATTGTTCCTTCAGTTGCAAACGTTCAAGCGCGACACTGACACCGATAATGGACGTTGGTACCACCATGCGTCGAACGTCCGAGACTAAAAAGTTCATTCCATCGTGTAGGAGACGCTTGCCAATTTTAGGGTGTCGAACGCTGTAAACAACGTTGGAAGCATTCTGTGGGACCCGCATTATTTGAAGTGATGTTAGGTTGGCACATTGGCAGACCGTTGACAGCTAACAGCTGTTTGACAATGAAGTTTGGTCATTTTGGTTATCATTATTTTTTGTTGTTCTATAATTTTAAAAAAAATTTTAAGAAATAATATTTTTAAAAATACCTAGGTAAGTGATGTTTTCTTAATTTACACAGTTTGGATTACTCATTTGAGGCATTAACATTTAATTGCATTGCAAAGATTGTAGCCACACATCCAGCGAAGGTTAGGAGGTTAATAGGAGCACCATGGAATTTTATAGGCATTTCACGATTTCTACTACTAAAAAAATACTATGTAAAGCATAAATACGATTAATACACTGCGGCTCAAGCACAAGTTTTTATTTACAAATATCATTGGGAAACAGGTTTTATAAACATACTTGATACATTTCTTTAATGAATGATGTGCTACCTAACTACATTTTGTACTCAGTTTCATATTACTGTTTATTTTGCAGAAAAAATGCTAAGTAATCATCTTGCCTTACCAAGTACAAGTTACAGTGATCAGCAATCTAACTCTGAGCTGGAATTTTTGAGAGCCACCAATAGAGAGTTAAGTGAAACCCTAGCAAGTGCTAGGCAAGACTTGGCTATTGCGCACGAAAATACAAATTGCTTGAAGACAAAATATTTAAATTTACATGTGAAATACAGCAGATTAGAGAACTTGGTGAAAGCAAACTTGAGTGAGTTCTCAAATTTTTTAAGTGAACCTAGACCACAACATGAACAGACACGAAGGAACAGCAGGAATCATTCTTTAGGTCCCTTAAAACCACATTCACAAAAAAGTAGGTATAAATAGTTCATATTTAAATATTTTCTGACATTTGAATTTTAAAATGAGTTCAGTACCACCTTTTTTCTTTGAAATTTATAGCCTTATGTATGTGTTACATACTGATAGGTAAAGGGCTCTAAGTGTCAAAATATGCTTTGTTGACTACATGCCAACAAATTAAATGCCTGTTTCCCTTATTTTTTGGGCTACTTCTCATATTCTGAATCATCCTTGGACTTCTCTAGAACCAACATGTATTCAGAGTCTTATTCTTGAAAAGTTTTTAAAAAATGTCATAATACCACATTCTAAGAAAATGTATGACTTCATTTTTAGCAATAAAAACCCAATTGGTGTTCCCTACAGTTAATGGACATGTCATCCAGGTACCTAGGATAACATTGAATAGATTTGATGACATGGAGTGGGATTCTAATAGAAGTCCAAGTGGTAGCAATACAAGTCTTGCACCAAGTGTACCAGAGGCTCAAAATAACTTCAGTGATGGCGACACTGATGAGGTACAATTTAGCACTAGATTAGTTATTTTAAACTATATGCTGTGTATATATATATATTTTTAGAATACTGTTTATTTACAAGTTTACTCATTAATTTTTGCTGCTTTTGATTTTCAATTTTTTTACATATGTTTTTTATGTAAGATCATTTTGGTTTATATATTTCTAGAGTTGAAAGTTTTTCATAGGGATTTTACCTCAAACATTTTAGAAAAACGAGTATTCTGACAAAAATTTGTCAATAGATCTGACCTATGTGAAAGTGAATACTGTATTTAAAAATGCAATTCATGTTTCGAAAGGGCCAGTGGCATAGAAAATAAGTTTCAATTTCTCTAAAGAGATATTTTTATTCAATTTTGAAATTATAACTTTAACAATGTCTATCTCGGTAATGTGGCATTTTGATATTGGAGACCATCCAATTTTGACGAGTAAATTTTATTACTTAAGCTTTTAACACTGCAATTGAAAAGGTTTTATGAAAGTCAATTGATGCAGGTTTCAAAGTTTTGATATTTTTGAAAGTTGATGAAGGCATCCGGTGAGCTTACCATATACAGTAATGGACAAAAGCATATAGACAAATATGAATATTTACCTAAATACCTTTAGAAAACGAATTCATCCTTTACAGCTCCATAAACAAATGCATTATTAGTAGAAAAACTGAATTCCTTGTTTTTACATTATCTGCAATGAACACAATACAAGTCTGAATATGAGCACTTTTTTATGAGGGACAAAAATATGTAGACAAATTCTTTTCAACATTAGTTTAGTACAGTTTCGTGTCAGAAGAAGATTAGTTTATGTTCATCAAGTATTGTGGAATAAGTTGGGTGATTTTAAGACCATGCCACGTGGTCCAGAAATTTCTTTCGATGCGAAAACTAAGATCATTGAGTTATACAAAGATGGTCAACATCAAGTCAACATTGCCAAAAATTTGAAGCTGAAGCGAATAAAAGTAATTTCGTCCAAAGATCCGTTTAAAACTCCAAGACAAATAAAAGCCGAAATCGAGACAAAAGGAATTGTCAGTGTTTGTACGAAAACTATAAGTAGAAGATTAAATGATTTGAAGTTATTTGCACGTCGCTCGAGTAAGAAGCCGCTAATCTCCAGGAAAAATCGTAAGGACCGATTACAATCTTCACGGTTGCATCTTGATTGGAGCATCTGTGACTGGAAGAGGGTATGTTTTAGTGACGAATCCATGTTCAATATGTTTGGATTAGATGGTTTTCATTACGTTAGACGTCTTAGTGGACAAAGATTGAACCCCAAGTACAGTTTGCCCACTGTCAAACATGGAGGCGGTTCTTTTATGCTTTGGGGGTGCTCTTCGGGGTTTGGGATGGGACCTTTACATAGAATACAGGTAGATGACATTATGGATAGGTTTGTATACACAGACATACTAATGCATGTCATGTTACCCTATATGGAAGACAATATAATAATGACCCGAAGTGCACTTGAAATCTCGCAAAGAAATTCTTTCTGGATGAAAAAATACCAGTTCTCAAATACTTAGATAAGCAAATACGAGATAAAAGTTATTCAAACAAGGATGAACTTTTTGCTGCTTTAGAGCAAAAGTGGAGACAGATTGATGAATCTTATATGAAGAAACTTCTACAATCTATGCTGAGACGATGCCAAGCAGTGATTGATAATAATGGTTATGCCACAAAATATTAACACAAACATGGTTGGTTTTCTATAATTCAATTCTTTTTTCTATAATTGTTTTGCTTTGTCTATATATTTTTGTCCTTCATAGTTCCAGTTTTTTCAATTAATTTTTTATTGAAGGGAGTCTAATGAATTTATTTATGTATAAGTGAGAATTATGCTATAACGAATTATATATACAGGTTGCTGTATTAATAAAACAAGTTAAAAAAGAAATACAGACCAATATTAATTTGTCTATATACTTTTGTCCATTACTGTATGTTTGTTTTGTGGAAAGTACTTTATTTCCCAGTTTGATAAGATATTCAACAAGCAACCCATATACATAACGTAACAAAAGTTTAGAATGCATCGAGTATCTGACGAATGACTCCTTTATTTTTTTTTAAATTGATGGGTTGGCGGATCCGTTGATGATATCCGCGATGGTGCCAAATCTACAGTTTTTCAGAAACTGACGGCAACCTTTGTTTTTCTTACGGGATGCTATATGTTTTATTCGATATTTGTATTCTTCGAGAAATTCTGAATACTTGTTATTAAACATACTTTGACGTAGACCTCATAGCTTTCAAAACATTCACGGTCAAACATTAATATCTGAACAATAAAAGGTATTTTTTTCACCTAAGCAATGACCTGTCATTTCTGACCTTCAAAAGTCTATGAGGTATCAGATCATCAGCATATCCATCAGAAACGACAGGAAATTATTTTACATATCGGCCATTGCTTAGGTGAAAGAAATACCTTTTATTCGAAAACTGTGAGGTCTACCTCAAAGTATGTTTAAAAAAAAATAGCGAGCAGTCGGAAAATCTAACAAATACCATTACGCAACACAAATTATCACTCCCTGCGTGTACGCATGTGAAAGACATTGCGAAGTAGGACGACACTTCCCTACGAGCGCTAGATGGGTACTGACCAAAATCGCTCAACTATATTATTTTTATTATGAAGGAACTGGTGTAACATATTTGCAACGTGGCAGATTGCCTCGTCAGCGTTGCTAGGCAACGCAGTGATGAGCTTCGCGATTCCAGCCGGCTTCTACCCAATATCCCACCAAATTTCTATATATAAAAGTAAAGCAATCTCAGATTTATATGTAGAGCTGGCAACGTTGCGGGATATTAATGCGCAATCTGGCAACAATGTCGCACCATCAAAAAATGGCCGCTGACAACAGTGACAACCATACAAGTCACCGTGTCGCCATTGAATAGCATGGAATTAAACCTTCTTCAGTGTATATGTTTTGTGGCTTCTACCCTTCGACCTTCGACCTTCGACCGCCATATTTCCATCTCCCGAAATGGGAGTGCGGCTTTTTGTTATTAAAAAATTCTAAGAATACGGAATCTTAGGAGTGCGAGCAGTGTTTCCAGATCCGACTTGTTTCTTTCATAGTTATAAAATTCACTGCAAACCATACCGAGGTTGGTTTTAATTTGAATTTCGTCATTTTCTTGAAGAGTACGCCAATCAATGATAATAGACCAGTCATATGTGATATGTTATTTTTAAAATAAAATGATCATTGTGAAGTAGAGTGACTAAAGTATGTAGTTATCAATGTTAATTCGTCTTACTTGAACTAGAACGAAATCTCTATATCTACAAGTAATACTGCACAGTTGACAAATTTAACTTCAGATGAAAATCAAAGTATACAGATCACTGGAAATAAGGATTTTTAACCCTTAACTACGGACATGGAGTCTCGTAGACTCCGCCGCGCAAATATCGTACCGTACTCACAACAAAAAACACCCAAGGTCAACGCCGCTTCGAGTAGCTTCCGCTTTTTCACTTTGCTACAGCGTGTTGAGGTGATTACTTAGCATTTATTTTTGATTTTGGAGTTACGTACATTTCAGAGTCTGACAGACTCCTTGTCCGTGTTAACGTCAGTATAGTGATATTTTATTATGGCGACTTCTAGGCCAAGTTCTTCCAAACGAATTAATGTTTTGGATCCTAACTTTGAGGAAATTGCCATGAGATGGTTCAATGAGGTAGACAATGAAAACAGTGATATTGAACCTGATGAAAATGTGTTCATTGAGAGTGAACATGAGTCAACAAGCGAGCAAGAGGCGTCTGACGATGATCCTGATTACGAGATTGAACATGACGAAGACATGGATATTTCCAGTGGCGAAGATGATGCTACTATCGGAAGTGAACAGGTGTTAGAACCTAACAGATCAGGAAATGAACGTAAACGAGAAAATAAATACCTGTATGGAAAAAATAGATTCAAATGGAGCCGACGCGAGCCAGAACGAAGAGTACGAACACCAGCACATAACATTTTGCGACTTCCAGCAGTTCGACTAACTGGAAATTATGAAAAGAGCCCTATTAAATTGTTCAAAAAATTATTTTCTCCTGAAATGTATGACTTGGTTATAGTTTGGACAAATGCAAAATTAGCTTCTATGAGAAGAAAATACAAAAGAGAAAATAAACCGGAGCTAGCAGATATTGACAATGACGAATTAGATGCCTTTTTAGGATTGTTATTGTACACCGAAATTTTCAAAAGTAACGATGAAGATGTAAGAAGTATTTTTGCAACAGACGGTAGAGGCAGGGACGTATTCCGAGCTGTTATGTCTCAAGAGCGTTTCTCCATTTTGTTAGTGGCTTTGCGATTTGATAATCCAGAGGACAGAGAAGAAAGAAAGAAGGTAAATCCAGTAGCAGCTATTAGTGAGCTGTTTGATATGTTTTGCGAGAATGCTAGATGTTCATATACAATTGGCGCAACAGCTTGCATAGATGAAATGTTGGTGGGATTCAGGGGAAGGTGTAAATTTAAAATGTATATCCCATCCAAACCAGAGAAGTATGGGATAAAAATAATAGCAATGACTGATGCAAGAACACAGTATTTATATAATGCATACATTTATGGTGGTAAAGACAGCGATGGTCGTGGTCTAACAGAAGAAGAGAAAAAGCTCAGTAAACCATCTCAGGCAGTTATCCGGCTCGCTAAGACTATTTTTCACTCAAACAGGAACATAACGGCCGACAATTGGTTTGGATCTATGGAGCTTGCCCAATACCTATTAAAAAATGGCCTTACATTTGTGGGAACACTAAAAAAGAATAAAAGGGAGATTCCCACTGAGTTTTTACCTGCAAGAAAACGCAAATTGGGTGAAACACTTTATGGGTTTACGAAAGATGTTACAATAATCTCACATGTTCCCAAGAAAAATAGAGCAGTAGTTCTTTTATCTACCATGCATCACAGCGAAACAATCGATGAGACATCCAATAAACCTGAAATGATCGCCTTTTATAATTCCACTAAAGGAGGTGTGGATGGAATGGATGAAAAAACTGCAAAATATACATGTAGTCGCCGTACTAGAAGGTGGCCAATGGCTATCTTTTATAAACTGATAGATATTTGTAGCGCAAATTCTTTCATTATGTATTCCTCTTTCCCGGGAAATGATATAACACGTTTCAATTTTGTGAAAATATTGGCGGATCAGTTAATTGAAAAACATGTGCGTAACAGATTGGAGATGCCAATGTTACACAGAGAATTGAAACATTTAATCTGTCGCGTTTTACATCAAGAAGAGCCAACACCTGTGACTGAGGAACGCCTACATACACGTAAATATTGTTATATATGCCCCTCGAAGCTAAAAAGAAAGACTGCCTATACATGTGCGAACTGCAAAAAGCCAATATGTCTGCAGTGTTCGCGAAAATCTTGTATAAACTGTTGTCAAACTCTAGAAAATATATGAAACATTCACCTCGTGCAGGTTTTTTTATATTAAAGTTTACAGCCCTATTCTTACTATTTTACCGTTTGTGGGATCTTATAGTATAAGGTTTAAATTCAAATAACTGTTGATTTATATGTTTTGTTAATATTAGCGTTGCTTTTTATTTGTATGTTTAGCATTTGTAACAAAATGGAATGCGCCAATTATTTCGTGGTTTTTTTGCATAATTTTATAGTATTTTCAAAATATTGATAATAAACATGATGTATGAGATGTATTTTGTTTTACTTATGAAGAAAAAATCAGCATACTTTTTGTAAAAAGAAAAATGTATTGCATACATTAATAGGAGTCTGTCAGACTCCTTGTCCGTGTTAGAGGATAAAAAATGTATGTCCGTAGTTAAGGGTTAAGTTAAAATAAGAGTGTTACAGAAAGAAAAACTGTATTTAGAATTCAGTTACTGATTCTAGTACCCACCTTGTGAAATACTGTTCATATTGTATATTGTATGCCCAAACGAGGCTATATTGTAAATTTTCACACATACAGATTATTTAAGATTTTCATGTTTTAGGGCTCTGGTAATACAGATGCTGAAGCGTACATGTAAGTATTTGTTTATCAGCTTATAATGTTATTTTGATCTAACAGTATTAATAGGTTAAAATACAGATTGTAGTGTTACCATGAGGAAGTCTTGTTTTTCTAGATGTTGCGAATTTAAAAAATAAGATTAAATATGTAGTTTGACCATTGTACTTGCTTCAACTTTATATTGCTTGTATATGTCGAAGTTCAAAACGGAAATTAGTCTTTAGTCATTTTCTAATTGCTAAGTTCTTAAAATTGACAGATCCGGATTGATCTCCGCACAAGAAAATATTACAGACGGACCGAATGCACCTATTCCTGATAATATGGAAAATGTAAGTATAGGTACCTGGTTGAATAAAAAAATAAATAGAATGAAACAGGCATCGAAAAACAAAGAATGTATTTCAATCAGAGGTTGTGCTTTTCAGATGAGAATCGTTTTGGAACGTTTGCCTGCGAATCTTTCTTTGGGTCATGTGACAGAACAACTGAGTAATTCAGATATAAATGAATCTTCAGAAAGGTAATTAATTCATATTTGTATACAGGGTGTGCCAACAAAAATAGAAAGTGGTTTTGTAGAGAAACTATAAAAGATATTTGAAAACGGTTTTTACGGCAATATTGTTATCTCATAGGTAGTGTGTTTCTAAATTATTTGGAAATACACAGGGTGTTGCACAATTTTGTGCCACAACAAACATTTTTTTTGTTTTTTTTATTATCCAAAACAAGACGGTTGATCTGATACAGTATAGGGATTTGATTGTTTGCTTAGTTATTTTATCATTTGTCTGAAAAATGCTTATCTTTGAGGGCGTCAAACTCCACAATTTTGCGTGGTTTCTTATTAAATTTTGGAGAGAGGATCAAAATTTTTGTTTTCCAAATATCTAATAAAATATAGGATGTTCCATTGAAAAAACACATGTTTGCTGTGCCACGGAATTGTGCAGCATCCTTATATTTCCAAATAATTTAGAAATATACACCTATGAGATACCAATATGGCTGCGACAGCTGTTTGCGAATTTCTTTTACAGTTTTCCTATAAAACTACTTTCTGTTTTCGTTACGACACGTTGTACATGCCTTTAAAATGCTACTAGTCGTATTTTTTCAGTTCGCCTCCAAATGCTGCGAGGGACAGGGTGTCACAGCCAACAAATACTTTATTGTTGGAGATGGTCGATACTACTACAGAAACAGATCAAAGTGTAAGTTACCTTTTTTCGCTACTAACCCGAGAAATCACCATTATTGATCACGATGCCTTATTAAGAAGTAGCATTTCTCTGCTAGATAAAAAATAATGAAGAGAAAAAACACTTTGGTACCTAGGTAAACCACAATGTCATTTGAAATCATGTGCCTTCAATTTCGCTGTCAGTTTGTCAACTTTTTTGAAATATATGAAAATTATTGATTATATTATTATATTAATAAGTAATGTTGATTATAGCTTCTCATCTAGTTATCCTTGAGTACCTTGATAATAGGCATAATATTGCTATATGTTTAACATTAACAAAGCTAAATATATGTAAGAAAATGTCTTTCAGGCTTCAGGTTCTCACTTGAATAGTACTGTCAGGGGTAGCAGGGAATTTTCTTCTATTTCACAGCTTACAGCAATTAGAATGTGAGTTATTTGCTTTTATTTTGGTATTATTTATTAATCATGAAATATAATGTTTATGTTACCATGTTGATCTTTATATTGATACCACAGTTGGAAGAAATAATTGAAGTTAAGATTCATTCGACACCATTCATTCCAAGTTGAAAAAATACACTGATTATGTTGTCACAGATCCGTAGTGCCGAATACAACTAAGCGATTCTAAACTTTCCGTAGATTGACTTTTGTCTTTTATAGGCTTGGCTTAGAGTTGTCTTCATCTGTCCCAAAGTAAGTGGGTTTGTTGTAGGTGTGGCTAACAGTATCAGTCCGCTGAAATACTGCATGAAATCTAACGTAAATTATTATTTGAAGGTAACACAGTATGTGTTGGAAATGAATGTTGCATGCTTCGTAAGTTTTATTGTGGATTTCAAACTACTTGTGTTGTAGATCGCCGGCATCTACAATACGAAGACGGCCTAAATCCGGAAGGAAGTCGTCTCCAACAACAGCTTCAACTCAGCAGAAACGCAGAAGGAAGCGGCAGTTGAACTCGAAAACTTCAAGCCCAACTATAAGGAGAAAGCGCAGGTATGTCGCTTAATAATATTGCTTTTAGCTACACACTTAACTGCTGCTAATAGAGAGTAGTTTTTGATGCTAGAAGACTGTTAGCTGGGTTGTGGGTCATGTCTAACGTTACAAACACATTTCCTTTCTATCAAATCTGTTTCCTATCATGTCTCTATCAAATCTGCATTTTCCCATCTTCTTTTGATAGTTTGAGATCCAATCTTTGATAGTTTGATCTCCAATTACACTAACGCGCTGATCGGGAGCGAAATTGCTGCCATTATCCAAGAACAACTACGTAAGTGACATGAATTTTCATCAAGACTAATCATATGGTGTGGACTTCAGAGAAGCATTCAAATGTAAGCTACGGCAATGCTGTAAAAACGTCTCCGAAACTTGACCAGTGGTGCTTTGACAGGGTTGCCAAGTTGGGAGATTTTCCACCAAATTTGAGGGATTTTTACTTGGGGATTTTTTTGTGGATATAATGTTCCGTTTCACGGATAAAAATCACCCTTAGAGGTGTCTTTAGATTTGTCTTGATAGCAGAATTAAATCTTAATTTTTTTCGTATTTCTTTCTGATTCCGTATCTAGTTGTTTTGTCATTGTTATAGTGATGATAAGATTGTGATGGTACTCCTGGACCGGAAACAGATGAGTAAGCTGCTGATGCTTCGTAACCCTGTCGTAAGACTTCGAAGAATGTTCGATAATAAAACAGAGTCAAAATCACTGAGGAAACAGAGTGCAGATACATCTAATGGCGTCGATTCTAGAACTACTCTAAGCAGGTACCTTATCTTATGATCTTTCTAGTCTCAAAATGCTGACCGTAACATGATCTATGCTTGTTGCATGACGCCTATTTTTCCATTCTATTTCAGCGAGTTTGGTTCCCAAACAAAGGGATTGAGGAAGAAAACAAGGAATAATGCAAATGATGTCGTTTCTGAAGATTTCATAAAAAGGTGAGTATTTAAACCAGATACTGTCTTTCTATATTTTATTCTATCTATTGAACGTCTCAATGACTTGAGTGAGTTGCCTTCCTAAAGGGCAAGATTTTTCTAGCTTTGCCATACTTTTGACATTTTCGAGCTATTTCATGTACCTATTTCCAAATTATTGGAATCGTGCTCAATGTATATACTAATGTGAGCTGCCTTCTTATGAGGAATTCTGACGAGGCAAGTGTCAACACAGTTGAGATATAGCTTACATATCCGTGATATATGGCCGGATCACAAATGTTGCTCGTTTAGGGACTCCATGATCTTGCTTTACTTTTTTTATATAAACTTGCTTCACAATTTGTGACCCCCATTGTTTCCTTATTTTTGCAGAAATCTGAGCGTGAAGGTCACTAAGCTGACGTCGCTGGAGTGAATAGCCACATAAGGTAAGAACTGATATCACCTAATGTCAAAATCACTATTACTATCGAGGCTACTTGCTAGAAAGTACTATAATAGCGAAACATTCCGAAAATGAGATATTAAGTTTTTTTTTGATATTTTATGACATGCACATCGCGAAAATCAAGTTATTCATTTCTGTCAATATGTTTGCTAAAAACGAAAAAATAAAAATTGATAGCTTCTTGACATTTCGGGGGTTCCTGATCATTTTAAGAAAAACATTTGTGGGGTAGTAGGGGTGAGGGAGAGTTTATCTCAATTTTTGGAGTAATGTCAAGACAAAAATTTATGGTACATACTTAATTAACACCCTCACACATCATAGATTTCCCTACATTTTCTCTTAAAACATATACTTGCATCGCGGTCTGACTGCTGAGTCGCTGGTGAGTTGCAAGGTTAGTCATAGCGACGTTGCCAGGGCAGGGCATGGGTGAAAATTCTGAAAAGCAACGTAGTCAGATCGGTGGAGACTGTGGACTTATTGAATGCCTCTATTTGACTGTCTTGATCCATTTAATTCTTTTGCTATACATCCGTTATGAACTGATGACAGCGTTGCGTGGGAGATGCAGAGTCAACATACATGACGCCTTGTTTTTATTTTGGTTTAATAATCTTCTATTTTCTCTTTTCAGATGCGGTTACGATTGTTTGCATTTCAACACTACCCTGATTTTTCTTTATACGGATTTATCAAATATTTAAACTTGTGTATTCATGAAAGTATTATAGATGGTTACAGCAATATGTATTATGGTATTTTTTGGAAAGGAATTTGTTTTATTTGTGTTCGCCAAAATATAAAAATGAAAAAACCTTCCTAAGTTTTGTTTCAGCACCTGTATAGCCACTTAAAGCACTGGTTACCATATTCTACCAGATGATGTCCAACCCAAATGAAAAACGCGCATGCGCGAAAATAACCATACGATATAAAAATATTAAGGTTTTAGCCACAACGTAGTCGAAAATCATAAAGCCAGAAAGAAAGTTTATTCTGCGTCCAAATCAAGCTTTCGAAAATGTTTATTTCCTTCTTCAAAACATAATAATAAACGGATTAAGGGAAACATAAAAATGATTTTGGGATAAATCTGGTATACGAAACAAATAACTATCTGATAATTTCGAGGCCTACCTAGGAAATTCTGTTTTTTTTTAAATAACTAAGATTTGGCATTGCCAATGTATGACATGTTAGATACATTTTTGGAATCAGAATTAAACTCTTGTGCAAAAATCCATTATGGCACCCTTGAGATAAAATAAAGTTGATGCTGGATAACAAGAAACGAAACGTTATATTGATTTTGGAAAAATTTCCGTCTCTCTTCGGAAGTACTTCGAATTTTCTAAGCGGCATTTTATTAGTTACTTAAATTTGTAGGACGCCTTCATGCGACCTCCTTGATTTTCATAGTCTTTTCTCTCCTTTAGACAGGCTGGGCTATTTCTAGATTTCTGCTGTTCCGTGTTAGCGTCAGCGCTCTCCTATTGTGAGGCTACGTTTTCTTTTTGGATAGTAGGACATTTCAGGCTGATATAACATGATATAAATTAAAAGCATGAACAATTTGATGCAAATATAGTTTGTAACATAACCTCAAAATAGACCGCTGACACGGAACAGTAGAAGACCATGAAAATCAAGGAGGCCATAAAGGCATCCTACAATTGTAGGAAAGACTGACGATACTACCCTAAGTACCAGCTTCATCAAGTCTCGAGCTGTTGTCACAAGTTATGGGAATTCCTTTATCGTCGTTGAGAAATTCTGAAAATACGAATTCTTAGGAATAATTACGAGAAAGGTGCTTTGGAAGTATAACATCATGTTTAAGAATGAATAATTTTCTTCAAAAGGAAAATTGATTCTGGAAATTGTGTAAATGTCCAAATACAGCAAAAAATTGGGCATCTCCTTGTACAATACATCAATCAGTGCTCAAACTTACCGCATTGCATTGTTCTTACGTGTTCCAATATATACGTAGCGCAATTATTGATGCTCCCCATTGTTCATCTGCTGGATATCTTGGTGAAGAAAACAAATGACTAGTTATCTTTAATGACTTTATTACACCAACAATCATATCATATATTCATAAGTTTTAAATAACAAAACTTATAATAAAATTTAAATAAAAAATAATAAATGTCTAAAATTAACATGGAAGCATTCCGTACGGATCTTGGATAGCGGCTAAAAAGGATCCCACAAAGCAAAATATATGTACAAGGAAAATTAAAGTACCCTTTTAACCAATGAAAAGAAATCGGAAAGTATAGTGTTGTCGGACTTGACGCGCTGTCACTTTTTTCCATTACTCAGAAAAATTGACATCACCAATGCGCCCCTAAAGTATCCTGCAAATCTCTTTATTTTTTGAGCGTGACAAGTTAGTAAGCTGGAATTCGGTGCGATGAAATTGATGTATGAATGACATATTTCAGCGTAAAAGTAAGATGAAAATTCCAGGATGGCGGTAGGGTGCCATTTTGGGTGATTTTTTCCAAATGGAATAGAGGTTATGTGGTATGCCAATTTTAAGCTCTTTACTAATACTTTATAACCCTAGAATATAAAATCAATCATCAAAACGATATAGTTATATCAATCTTATTTTCTTAGAAGGATTTATCCGAAAATGTAATAAAATATGGAAGATTCAATTTAAAAAAGGTATCAGAAAGCAGTAAATTTTTTTAAATGGAATTTCCATGTTTAAGATATTTTTCAAATGAAGATGATATACTTTCGAAGCTTAGTTCTAGAGTCATAAACGACTCAATGTACAAATACGCTCAACATTTTGAAAGTAATTCAGGGTTACAAAGCTTCGATGAGGAGCTTTAAAATTAAGTATAATCATAGGACCTCTAATTCCACTTAAATACTTCAATACTTCAACTGTCAAGTTTACTGTAAAGAAGTATAATTAGTGCTTCAATTTCATCATCCCGAATTTTAGGTTGCCATCTTGACCCGTTCAAAAATAAATCGGGTAGGGGGACCTTTTTGGAAAGCACTGCATAATATAATTCATCCGCTTGTTTTGCCAAATCAGGCGGATGTTGGATCCATGTTCCAAAAAATATGAGAACCTGTTTCAGTATCAGTTTCGAGATGATTTAAAAATATATATTTATATATGCGTTTTTCTTTTTATATAACCAAAAACTATTACGTACGAGAACCACATTAACAGTGAGAGTTTTTTCGTAGCTGATTCATATTTTTACTGAGGTATTTAACTTCTCCTTCCTATGTACTGTCATAATGACAGAGCGTCGGTCCAAGTTAAAAAATATATATTAAGCATTATTATTATCTTAAGCTAAATGTCTGAAGGTTCTTATAGCCTAAATACAATACAATATAAGTACATCTGTGGAATTTTTTCTGAGTATTGAGGTAATACAGTAGTAGTAATAATTTACTTTTCTCTTGTTTATAAACAGTATATGTTGTACTGGTTCAAGGCATCTTGTTCCATTGGTGGCAATGATATTAAACAGTATCTATTCATTACGATTATCTATTGATTTAGTCGAAGAGCAACAAATGAAGTTTTATTTTGAAAAATATTTGCACATGTGATTACAGCGGCATTTGAAAAAGGTTTTGACTCTCCTGAACAAAATCTGGGATTTAATCTTTTATTCAATAAATTTATTGAACGTCGTATACCGATGTTGTATTTGATCTTAAAAATGAGTTGTCTGACCAAGAAAACTTCAAACAGATGTAAAAACAAAATTCCAAAATATTTTTCATTAAGCGTTTCTATATTTTTTGTAGCAGTGGAAGATGTAGAAGAGATTTAAAGTAAAAATACGCAGAATTTCTATTCGAACCCTAACAGGCGTCATTTCACTGACTATCCGTACAGATTAGATACGTCAAAAGAATAATGCGAAAATACCTATACTGCAGAGAAGTATAAAAATTTAGGCGTTTACTGTACTAAAAAATGTGTTTCCTGTATATCATGGTGCTTTCTTCCAGGTTATAGGCTATAAGAATTTCGCAATGCATATCAAAACGTTTGACGATGATGCCATTTCGATGAGTTGGAAATAAATTGCCTTCAATGATAATTTACCAAAATCATAGTAAAACAAGCTTTGATTCAAGAAATACTATTTTCACAGTGATTTTAAAAAATAATTCTTGAAATTTTGTTACCAATCACTGTATATGTATTCATATACGCTTCACTTGTTGCATCTAACTTTCCACCATATCTCTGCTCCGATTATGGTTCTCTGTACACCTGGTCAGAAAATAGGGCATGGGAGAACATAACACCGATCCAAAATACTTCATCCGTCAAATAGGCAGTGTGCAAGTAACGCTAACATTTTTTCATTTGAACCAATCTAACCTCAAACTGCTAACTGTTGCTTAAGCCCAGAAGTTTGATTGACATGTAATTCCCTGAGGTGGTTTAACTCTAGGCCTAGCGTTACAAAAAGCATTGTGGCAGTATAGATGCTTTATACTCGCTAGAAAAATTAGATAAGGTAATTTGGCACTGCAATTTCTACGCGGATACTTTGAACGCAGGATTTGTGTTTTTGCACGGGATAATTCTTATCCCTTGAGCGGAGAGATTGTAGGTGAAGCTAAAATTTTTAACGAATCAGTACTTTTTTGTTGAACTTACGAACCAATCTGTTGAATCCATAAATATATATCTTCACATTTTTACAGAATTTTTGCTCGTATAATGCAAACTAATTTGCGCAATTGCTCATAATGTACATTTCATTATTTACATTGTTAGTTAAAAACTAATTATCTGTTGAACCCTGTAAATAGGGATATTTCCTAAAAAAATGGCAAGGATATGTTTTTTACATACTCGTACTTTTGGTATAGATTTTTAAACAGACTGACTCTGAGTAGTCACGCCTAAGGGCACAATGATAGACCTTATCACTGTTAAAAGCAAGAGTATGTTTCGATATTGTATAATTAATTCTAGTTTGCTATGATAGCCGGTTTTATCCGCTGAAGAGCCCGAGTGTGGAGATTTGTTTTGCAATATTTGAGGATAAACTGGTATTAAAGGTGATGCATTGAATTTTCACATTATAACACCACAAACACCATGTATATATATGCTATTTCACGCCGATTCAGTAACAAAATCTACAATTTTTCAATTTCCCATGTACGGCCGAAAAATTTGTTTTCTAAAAGGATAGAATTTTCATGTATATACCATTTTTATAAAATATCTAAACTGCTACCATTAGGTACAAATTTTAATACTGTTTAATTTTTCAATATATAATATATTTTTCATCTCTGCACAGTTTTTTTAAACAAAGTGTGGGTTGCATGAATATAGATATGCGCGTTCTTTCTCTAACAAATAATATTAAAACTTACATTTAGTCACTACATTCATATAACAAAAATATGTACAGTAGCAAAATATCCTACCTTAAAACTTCCACTACGGTTTACTATCCGCTGTCACAAAAGAGAATTTTGATGCTAAAAGCAATACTCGATATTGAGGCTGTTCCAGAATACGATTTCTCATGTAGAACACTCGCCGATTGGGAAATCTGTTGAGAGTTCTTATATAATACGTGTGATCTGTGCTTTATACACTGCTTTTCAGTTAAACATTTCGTGATGGCGTCTGGGCGCCATTTTGTAACATTTTTTATGTTGGAAGATCATGTAATCCATTGTTTTGAAGACCCTCACAATTTATTTATAATCCCAAAATACAAAATCGCTGTCGTTCAAAATGTAGACTGGTAAGCCACCAAAGTTGAACATTTTGTATATTGAATGGATTAT